ACAGATATTATATTGACTTGATATTCTTATACTAGTGGAAATTAATTCATGTGCACTATAAAAAAACATCAGAATAACATGAACATGTATTTTTTTTACAGAATCATGTAGAATACTCAAATGATTACCAATGATGATCCTGAAATTGCACGTGCATCCATTGCATGCATACAATTCCATGAGAAAGAAGTCCGTCACACATTCACAATGCACTGGTACAAATTCAAACACAGAGAGGAAATCGTTGGTAGTGTTTTACATGTGAAAAACAACTTTGTTGACGGCCAAACCTCGTCAACATAATGTCGCACCTATCTGGAAATGAGGGGCTGCGTGCAGTTGGAATGTTTGAAACTGGAATCGTACAATGCGTTATTACTAGGCCTTTTGGTGATCATCGTTAAACCACGCCAGTCACTCTGGGGTCGGTACCATCACACTGGCAACACCAGGGACCGACCACGTTCTGGATGTCCACAGTAACGTCACGTCGGCAAGACATCCGTCTGGCTCTCCCATGAAATCGGATGTCACACTGCAACTCTGAAAGCCCGATTCCCTTGCTTACGTCCGATTAGTGCAAGGACTGTGAGGAATCGGTGACGAGAGCATAACATCCGACCACGACGTCCAGCCGTACGTCCACGTTTTCTGCTACGTCATTGAACTGGTTACATGACTGGAGCTGAGTCCTTCTCACAGATTTTATATTGACAGCAGTGACGGCCGTCAGTGTGTATATCTTGACAGCAGTGACGGCCGTCAGCGTGTATATCTTGACAGCAGTGACGGCCGTCAGCGTGTTAATCTTGACAGCAGTGACGGTTGTCAGCGTGCTTATCTTGGCAGAAGTGACGGTTGTCAGCGTGTATATCTTGACAGCAGTGACGGTCGTCATCGTGCTTATCTTGGCTGAAGTGACGGTTGTCATCGTGCTTATCTTGACAGCAGTGACGGTCGTCATCGTGTATATCTTGACAGCAGTGACGGTCGTCATCGTGTTTCTCTTGACAGCAGTGACGGTCGTCATCGTGCTTATCTTGACAGCAGTGACGGTTGTCAGCGTGTATATCTTGACAGCAGTGACGGCCGTCATCGTGTTTCTCTTGACAGCAGTGACGGTCGTCATCGTGCTTATCTTGACAGCTGCGGCGGTCGTCATCGTGTATATCTTGACAGCAGTGACGGTCGTCATCGTGCTTATCTTGACAGCAGTGACGGTTGTCAGCGTGTATATCTTGACAGCAGTGACGGCCGTCATCGTGTTTCTCTTGACAGCAGTGACGGTCGTCATCGTGTTTATCTTGACAGCAGTGACGGTCGTCAGCGTGTTTATCTTGACAGCAGTGACGGTCGTCATCGTGCTTATCTTGACAGCAGTGACGGTCGTCATCGTGTTTATCTTGACAGCAGTGACGGTCGTCAGCGTGTTTATCGATGTCTGATTGAACGTTACGCTGACGTGTTTTTTTATTAAGTTCTGCATTCGGTTGAGAAGAGCGGTGTATGGCATGGGAAGGCAATACTGTACAAACCTGACTTGTAAACTGCCATTTGACCCCACTCCACTTTCAACCTTTAAGCAGAGCTTGACAGTGTCCTCATGAATTCATGTTTCATGGACATCAATATATTGTTATGTTGCCAAATTGTTCTATGTTAGCTTTTATTTATTACCTCCCATGAAAATGATGCACAGGAGCTAGTATTTATATACTGGTATTAATTTCAATGTCGTAAATTGACAATTAAGATGTCATTGGAGTACAATATTCATCACGTATGACAGTGAGTGAGTTGGGTTTAACGCCACTTTTAACAGTATTCTAGTTATATCATGGTGTGTCAGCTTAATGTGGGAGGGAAGCCTGACGTGATGCAGGTCTCAGACAGTAACCACTTCGGTGAAACCCACGAGCACGGGCGGGTATGGTGCTGACCAACCTAGAAACATAATCGGGACGAACCGGGATTCGAACCCACAATGATAGGTTTCTGGTGGGCCCAAGGGACGCAACTCTGCACAGCGAATCGCAGCGCCTTAGACGACAGGGCCACCCGTGCCCCCTTACGTATAACATGTATGACGGATCAATAGGTAGAGCTGTTAAAAATAATGCCCCTCCGAGAATGGCTTCAATTACGTATCAGATACGTTTTACCCAATGATGTTTTTCTGCAAGCTCCAACTGCTCTGAGTGGTGCTATCACAAGCTTGTAAACGTAGCAGCGTGTGTCATACAACACTTTCATTGGTGTGCTTTATTACGGGATTAGGCGACCTCGAGTCACCTCCCTTGAAGGGGGATAACTCGAGATGATAGCCTGTGACCCCCCTGTTGTTGCTGAGATAACTCACATTCCTTTGTCTCTAATTGGCTTGAACCCTGACCCGCGCTCCAACACATGTCGGGATGTGGAAGCTGTGAGAACACCAATAACGCAACCTGCAGCTGTAATACAATAGCTGTTTCTATCAGAATGTCCTTGCTGCAAGGTTGTACTGAATGATAAGTCCATGGATGTAGAGTAATTCTATCCTGATAATCAGACAAGTGAAACTTGTTCTTATGATTTATTTATTCCCTTTAAAGTACGTTGCTATATAAGTGAAACAATCTTGAACGTGACGTAAAACCTCACCTTATCTAATTTCTGTCAGAATCTTATAATTTTTAGTTGTTTTTGTGAAGAGTTTCGTGCGTACAGAGACCTACACTTGTTATAAATGTAACAATCCCTGGCTTACATGTGATGTACAGTGTATACATAATCATTTTACAAACTTTGAAAAATTTTAACATGCAAAGATGTTTATCTACAGTGATTTGATATATATGAGATCAGTTTGAATTTTGTCCACACACACATTTATTTCGTGAAAGGCCCCTGTGGCCACGGCATTCACGACCGACTCGTGCCAGTCCGGCACAAGCCGAATGGAGATTCCACACCCTCGAAGAAATCCATATTGGCATATGAACATGAATACTACCATTTGTGACCAACTTGTGCCATTCCGGAAAGATGTGACCTTGAGTTCATGCTTTGTGTGTTTGGTGTGCTCGGCATCATGTGGTGGCGGTTCCATTTCGAATTTTGGAAAAGGCCCCAGCAAAGTTTAAAAGGCCCCTTTTGGGTCAGGAAGGAGATTTTAGTTTGGATTCGGGAATTAACTGTGTAATTTGGATGTCTGTTGTGTTGTGTTGTGAAATTCGTTTGGTTTGAAGGGAAAGAAGGTGTGTTTGATAAGAAGAAGATAGCAATGGTAGTGGGCCATGTGGACAAGGGGGTGAGGGGATGGCTGGGCTAGATGGTAGCCTAATTTCGTACGTGTGGAGTCAATACTCAGTTGCAAAGGGTACAGGAGTTGATTTAAACCCCATTATTTAGTCACTGGATCAGTGTTTCAGGCAGGGCAGGATGAACAAATACCAGAATAATTACCTGCAGTGGTTGGTACAGAATACAATCACGCATATCATTCTCGAAGGCAAGGCCAGTTATATCTTCTTCTTGAACATCTGTATAGGTGGTAAAAAATTCATCTTTTTCACTACAGTCAATGATTGGGCTAAGGTTAGGGAACTTACGTTCTTTTCTGCCAAGTCTTGATCATTAAGTCATCGGGCCTGGAGGAGGCAGACCCGATTTGCAGATAATATCTACAGATATAGAGGATAATATGCCATCTCTGGAGATGTCTTCAGGTGAAACACTCTGTGAATCAAGCATGGAATTGTCAGTGACTGAGTATGAGGTTTTGTGGAAGGAAAGAGTCTTGAGGAGATGTGCTTCATTTGGCCGTTGAGGAAGAAAACTTCTGTTGGCTGGGGGGAGGGGACAAAATCGTTGACCGTTTTGTTTAGTGTGGACTATGTTGTCGGAGGCTGTGGTGGCAAGTGATGTGAGATTTAGGCTGTCGAGAGTGAAGACCTTATTTTGCCTGCTTTTGAATGAGCATGTTGGTGAGTGGAGGCATTGACATAATTGACATAATGCCGGGAAGGGTGTAGACCTCATGTTGCCTACTGTGAAAAAGAGGCAGTCGAGAATGAATACCTCAAGTGACCATGGTGAAGAGGCATGACACTTTGGGGTTGCTTGATGGTGATATAAAATGTGAAAGTGAAATGGGTTAAAGTGGGGATGAAGCAGTAGCAGGTGTCTGTACAGAAGATGATCTACATGCAAGGTTTACCCTGAAGTTTTTGATATCTTCGAGTACAGCCAGGCATTCTTTTCAGCAGTATAGAGAGAGCGGCCACCATTACATATCTCAAGTTCTCTCCTATGAGAATCACGTTGCCGAAAGTGTACCCTTTTGCACTTGAAGATGCATCGGTTGTGACGATTTTAACAGTATTCCCAAGAATAAACGATTATATGTGTCATATTGAAGTAGAACAATCCATCAATGTTTTTACCTTTCACACACAGGTTGCCATGGTACCGAGGTCGGGTTTGGCTACTCGGGAACCTTGGATCTACATTACCAGAATCTGAAGAATCGGTACCAGGACTGCACGTATGTCCATGGTAACCTGGAAATCACCAATCTAGACGATCCCCAAATAGAGTATGACCTCAGTTTCCTGTCCAAGATCCGCTACGTCAGTGGGTATATTCTGATTGGCTTGGTGACGGAGATCGCGAGGATACCCTTGACGTCCCTGGAGGTTGTCAGGGGCAACAACACATACCGTGTGAGAGGGGAGGAGTACAGTCTCATCGTGGCTCTGACGTCACGATTCCCTGATGTCAACGTTGGTCTGAAGGAGCTGCATATGCCGTCCCTGAAAGGTCTGTGGTTGAACTGGTTAAGATGTGTGTCTGTGCTGGTTTAGATTTGCCTGCACAGATTGACGTAGGAATGAAGCTCTATGCTATATTTCACTATGGGATGTTTAGATACATGATCGGTACTCCACGTTGAGATGTTTAGATTCATGACCGGTACTCCACGTTGAGATGTTTAGATACATGACCGGTACTCCACGTTGAGATGTTTAGATACATGACCGGTACTCCACGTTGAGATGTTTAGATACATGACCGGTACTCCACGTTGAGATGTTTAGATACATGACCGGTACTCCTCGTTGAGATGTTTAGATACATGACGGGTACTCCTCGTTGAGATGTTTAGATACATGACGGGTACTCCACGTTGAGATGTTTAGATACATGACCGGTACTCCACGTTGAGATGTTTAGATACATGACCGGTACTCCACGTTGAGATATTTAGATACATGACCGGTACTCCACGTTGGGATGTTTATATATATATATATGATCTATACTCCACATTGGTATTACCTGTACTCAACGTTTGGATATATGAGCTATACTTCACATTGGGATCTTTAGATATATGACCTGTATTCTGCTTTGTGATGTTTAGATATACGACCTGTACTCTATGTTCGGGTGTTTAGATATATGATCTGTACCCCACGTTGGGGTGTTTAGATATGTGACCTGTACTCCATGTTGGGGTGTTTAGATATATGACCTGTACTCCACGTTGGAAGTTTGGAAATATGACCTGTACTCCATGTTGGGATGTTTAGATATATGACATGTACTACTTTGGAAGTTTGGAAATATGACCTGTACTCCATGTTGGGGTGTTTAGATATATGACCTGTACTCTACGTTGGAAGTTTGGAAATATGAGTTGTACTCCATGTTGGGGTGTTTAGATATACGACATGTACTCAACGTTGGAAGTTTGGAAATATGAGTTGTACTCCATGTTGGGGTGTTTAGATATACGACATGTACTCAACGTTGGAAGTTTGGAAATATGACCTGTACTCCATGTTGGGGTGTTTGGATATACGACATGTACTCTACGTTGGAAGTTTGGAAATATGACCTGTACTCCATGTTGGGGTGTTTAGATATACGACATGTACTCTACGTTGGAAGTTTGGAAATATGACCTGTACTCCATGTTGGGGTGTTTGATATACGACATGTACTCTACGTTGGAAGTTTGGAAATATGACCTGTACTCAACGTTTGGAAATATGACCTGTACTCCATGTTGGGGTGTTTAGATATACGACATGTACTCAACGTTGGAAGTTTGGGTATATGACCTGTACTCCATGTTAGGGTGTTTAGATATACGACATGTGCTCTACGTTGGAAGTTTGGGTATATGACCTGTACTCCATGTTAGGGTGTTTAGATATACGACATGTACTCTACGTTGGAAGTTTGGAAATATGACCTGTACTCAACGTTTGGATATATGAGCTATACTTCAAATTGGGATCTTTAGATATATGACCTGTATTCTGCGTTGTGATGTTGAGATATATGACCTGTACTCTATGTTCGGGTGTTTAGATATATGATCTGTACCCCACGTTGGGGTGTTTAGATATGTGACCTGTACTCCATGTTGGGGTGTTTAGATATATGACCTGTACTCCATGTTGGAAGTTTGGAAATATGACCTGTACTCCATGTTTTGGTGTTTAGATATACGACATGTGCTCTACGTTGGAAGTTTGGGTATATGACCTGTACTCCATGTTGGGATGTGTAGATAAATGACCTGTACTCTACGTTGGAAGTTTGGAAATATGACCTGTACTCCATGTTGGGATATTTAGATATATGACCTATTCTCAATTTCCATATCATAAACCCTAGATATCCTTTCTGAAAGTGACTCCAGTTCTTCCGCACCATGTTGTTTCCATACACAGTGGCAATGATTCTCTGAAATTATAAAGAAATTAATTCTTATTTAGACGGGTTTTTTATCATTTATGATAGACGAGAATGGTCTGCTGTCTTGTATCTGTGAAGGTATGTGTGCGTCTGTGTGTGGACGGATATTATGGTTGGATGTAAACTATGATCCAGTACACCAATACACAAATGCTATAAATGCCGATTCCTGTGTTGACAGAGGTGACTATGGGGAAAGTGTTGTTTTCCCAGAACCCCGCGCTCTGCTACGTCGACACCATCGACTGGGACACCATCACCCACGGCAGAAACAACTCCATCAACTTCGGGGAGCTGGCCTCTTCAGAAACATGTGAGTAGCTGTTAAAGCCTGATTCTATCCCATTCTTCAAGCTCTTGCCATTAATTGTCAATAAACAAGCTATAAGCGGCGTCAAACTTTACATCACGCGAACAACTACATCTTCGTTGTGGGGGCCGTAAAATCGTCTTCGGAGCAAGGAGGATTCAAGTCCATGCATTATGCATGTCGACCCATTTCGGAGTCTCTGGATCACCATGACAGAACATTGTAGACATGCTGTATGCACCTTATTGTATATTTCACTTGTCGTAAGAGTCGACAATGCTTGTCGTAAGAGGCGACTAATTGGATCGGGTGGACAGGCTCGCTGACTTGGTTGATGCATGCCATTGTATCCCAATTGCGATCGATGCTCATGATGTATATCACTGTATTGTCTGGTCCAGACTCGATTATTTACAGACCGCCGTCAAATAGCTGGAATATTCCTGAGTGCGTTGTTAACAAACAATCCTACACCATCTTTCATAACATGATGCTACGCGACGGTGAGTGCATGCTGTGTGGTGTGCGGTCACGACGATCAATAAGTATTCCAGAAGGGACTGAGGGTTGGTTGTATGAACAAAGATCCAATAGCATTCAACCATCACACGATGATGACTACCTGATCCGTCGAATCCGACTCTTCATCATTTTGTCCAAAGAAAATCCACAAGGATAAGGACAGAAAGAGTAAGTGAGTGAGTTAGTTTAACGCCTCTTTGAACAGTAGTTCAGTCATGATACGGCTTGACGATCCAATGTAGGCGAATAGCCATAAGTTCTTCTGATCCTTGACTATTCCAAGTGAAACCTACGAGGCATGGTTATACCAAGTCAAGGATAATCGAGCGAATCTGAATGGCATTGGCAACTCTAAGCCAGAAAGAGGCATACATGTCTCCGATCAAAATGACACATGTATGTGTTTGTTTGTTTGTATTTATAGTTTGGTATACGACATGCATATGTATTAGCACTGCACAAGGTCCAAAATGGTTAAAATGTATGCTGTGGTCGGGTAACGTGTGAATGGGTAAGCGTATGTTGTTTAACGCCGCAGTCACCAATATTCCAACTGTATCTCGGCTGTTAATCATCGTGTTTGAACCACACAAACCAGGGGTTGATATTATGAGCAATACATGATGTGGAAGGATGCCACGCAGTCAACAAAGTCACTGAGTCTGACCACCCGATCCGCTTATTATGAACTACGGATATAACGAACTAATCTCAATCTCGGGAGTTCGTTATAAGCATGTTCTTGCAGAAGTTACATTTACATTCTTACGTTCTTACTCTTAAACCCGGGATCATTCATTTCCTGTCTGGCACATCCAACATGACCAGAAATAGAACTTATTAAAAGAAATCACACACAATCGCCCTACCCTGCGGCAATATATCAGATAGCAATCATTTCGAGATAGGAAGTCATAATTGGCAAATTCTCACTGCTCGTATACAGTCCTGAACGTTTCAGTTTTGATAACATTGTTGACTTTATCACAACGGTCAATCAACATCTCACTCCGATAGATCGATTCGGTTGTGTGCGTCGTGTGGTAGCCATTTTATATCGAACAAACATTGAAGAATATCTGATTTACACAGAGATCGTTAAGTTTCAAAGCGAGATTTCAAAACACATCAATACCATCTCTACGAGTTTCGCAGAAAGACATTGAACACTTTGAGGGGTATACTAGGAAACCCAATTCGAAGTCGGTTGTCATGGCCGAGATTGATAATCGATGACTCGCCTCGTGAAGTTGTCTCCCTTTGTCCTAATGCTGATTAGAATCACCAGAGATCTTAGTGCTACTACTGTCGTAAGTCGATGTTGAAATATTCAGAACAAAGATTGCTTTCCGGAACGTGATTTTTTCACCTTGATATTTTGTTAGTGTCTTAACTTGGATCGGTGATATAATATCACGGAGTGTTACAGAGACGTCCCTGGTTTACGGCATTGCTGGGCTCGTGGTGGGGAAGTTATCAAGGCTCGGTGGCACTGTTGAATAATGATTTCATCAACCGAATGTCTGTGTTCGGATATGAGTTTATGGCAGTCGTGGCATAAATATGGTTAAATATGGTTTTGTGGCTATTGGTCATAGGAGCTGTAACCGCGTGGTTTGATTCATTGCCGAGTCAGGAGCACTTCCACTCGCATTCAATAATACTCCTCCTGCCACAAAGGCTGGACTAGTCAATCCGGTGTTTGATTTTCTCCATGCCAATATTTCCGAAACCCTGTAGCCCAGACAAAATTATTGAGCACAACAAATCGTAATAAATATTGTACAATGTCAACACAGATATACTGAGAGCAGACAGATCCGATGTTCTGTATTAAGAATATATATATGTTTTTTTAAAATACGATAAATAAGAATATAAGAAATATATCTATTTTATTATTTACTGAGCGGAACAACACGACACGTGTTTCTGTAGAGAGGAGTGTTTGATAGTAATTACCAATTACATTAATCAATTAATTTTATTCGAACTTCGGATCCTGACCTGCGCTAGGCTTGGCAACATATGACTGTGTAATTCATACGCTTGTAGCATAAAAACATGTATGTCATACCCCAGACATAAGTATGCAAATTTCATACCGGGCAAAGGCCCGTTTGACGCTGTGCAGAGTTTCAACCCATAGGCGTGCCAGAAACCTATGATCGTGGGTTCGAATCCTAGATCCGACCCTATGTCGACCCTACCGATGTAAAAAAATGTATCACTTCGATCTTTCCACCTTTTTCCTGTTGTTCAAAGTGGCGATAGACCAAATTCACTCACTCACAGCACAGAAACACATCGGGTCAAAAACCAAATATTGTTTGGTGGCAAAATATACCATTAGCCTTAGCATGCTGAGAGGAGACAAAAATGGTTGATTGGATGCTGGACCTATCTGATTTGGTATACAAAGTCCTGGATGGTCACTTATGCTATACATCACTTGGACCCAGACAAGGTGCGATTAAGTTGGTTACAAGTATCCGTAAAATATGTGTGACATGGCTAACTGCGGCGTAAAATGACATTAAACCAGAACTTTCTAGAGAAGAACTCGGAATACAGTCCATATATAAATGGCGTTTCTTGGGAAATTGGTAGCCTGCATGCTAGTGTGACTGGTCCAGTCTCGCCTCTGTATCCTCCTTTTCTCCAGTGGTATTACTCACATTGATGGCGTTGTGCTGTCCTTCACAGGTGACAACTGCTCTGACGAGTGTGACGTGGACGGCATCCGGCGGTGCTGGTCGTACGACATCTGTCAGGAGGGTGAGCCTTGTTCATGTCACTTTACTTGTGGATTTCAGTATACCTGGATATGAGAAACGACCGCAAGTGATGAGATTTAATATAGGGTATTGTATATGGGAGAACACCATACCAATTATAGCAAGTCATTCCTGGTGTAAACTGCAGGGCAAAAGAAAGTATACATCCATGTTTGATAGTAGCTAAAATTGAAACAAACAAGAAATGGTTGTTCGATGGTGATGTATTTGATTCGGGGATTAGAGTAGCGTTTTGGACTGTTTTCAGCCTGGTAACGTTTTGATAATGTTTGTAATTGTTTATTATATTCTATTTTAGTTCTATCTATCTATCTATCTATCTATCTATCTATGCTTTCTTTTTCCCTGCAGTTTACTTTAATAGGTGTATTTAACGCGTACTGTACAGAGTACTGCCTGGATTTGCATTTACAAATATAAGTCCATTATTGATAATTTTAGTCACTCCTTAGATTAGTAACATTTCTCTGTGTATTGTACAATTGCAAGGGTGTTTTAGAGTTGTTCTGTGGTCTGCAATAATGCACGCATATTTGCAGGATTTTGACACTCAGTCCTCTGACTCCCGCTGCCAATATTTGAAGAAAATCCGAACATGTGTTCTTCAGTTTTAGGCCAAAACATAATATTACCACACACAGATATTGAACGAAGCGTTGTAGAATATGCCATAGGCGAAATTTAGTTAGAAAATCCTCTGGACTTTGAGGTTTTCGCTTGAAACAAATACAGAGACCTTTGGGTCAATGATTGTTTAAATATCGTCTTATTGTCCATGCAGTGAACACCGAGAGATGTGAGGAGTCCTGCCCCTACCGCTGCTTCGGGCCTGAGGTGGGGCAGTGTTGTCACGCCACCTGTGCTGTCGGCTGCACGGGACCCACGGAGCGTGACTGTCTGGTAAGTGAGACTTACTTAGTAATTAGTGTGTGAGTTCGAATTGACCCGGCTTTTCACAAAATGTTCCTTACATGACGACGTGTCAGCTTGCTTTAGAAGGAAATCCCCCAAAGTGTCAGATGTTTGCCTTTATGGAGAAATCATTCGATTTGACGACCTGGGAACTAAGGGGCATAACTCTGTGAAGCAAGCTGTTTGCCTATCATGGCGGGTATCTTGGAACCGCATTTCTGTTGCATCACGTGATGTCGGACGAATGTCTGAAGTGATGCCGATCGTACCACATTGGTGCATCTCGCGATCACTGGTGTGGTGCAGCCGAACCTAGACTCATAATCAGGACGAGTCCCGGGTTCGAACCCACGATCATGGTTTTCTGGCACGCCTACGTATTTAAACTTTGCACAGAGAGTTGCGTTGCCTTAGATGCCCAACCATGGCAACAACGATAAGAGTCCTTCATCATTTTGAGAACCATCATCGAGGATTCAGTGTATTGGGTGTCCATATCTTTACAATAAATACCCTTGGCCCATTCATTGACACAGCTTCGTTGTGAGCCCGATTTGAATGTCTCGACGATGAAAATAGCCGTCCGGTCAAAATAACTCTCCTGTGCGAGAGAAATCCTGTTACCGATAGGAAAGAGGGAGATAATGACGTCACTTCCGAAACGAAATAGGTCCAGGGTATTTACGGTAATAGAATGGAGATATTATACTCAGGATAATTAAGGATGACAACCAAACACACTCTTGTAGGGCTGCCTTTAGGATGTGTGAGTAAGAATGAGAAAATGTTCAACAAGAAAAGGAATCTAAATGTTGATTCTGTTCGCAATCCTGATCGATATCGATGATGATTATGGCAATGTGGTTAACGAAAATCGTTATGTTTTTATTTCTCTCTCAGGCCTGTAAAGACTACCACTACAATGACCACTGTACATCCCACTGTCCTGACAAGAGCTACCCTCGCAACCAAGAGTGTATACCCTTCTGAGGGCAATGGTTGCAACAATTATCAATCAACAGCCTTTAGGTAGCAGTGAATTCTCAAATGTCATGAAAATCAAGACGAAAAATGAAATGACCACTTACTGCATCCATCGTAAAGAATATCGACCAACGTTAAAGGGAGTCATCGTGAGATACCCAAAGACTGGAAGATCTAAAGTAACACGTGACAAGAATACGTCACAATATTAATCTTTTTTTTACACCAGTCTTATCACAACCACTATCTTTATTGAACGTATCCCGTGAAACAACGATTATGCTAAAAATAATGGAAAATATAAGACTTGCTTGGGGATTGAGCAGCGCTTGGAATAAGCGCTCGATGTCTACCTTTAAAGTAGAACTAAGCTCCACGGCCTGCTGGTGCGAGATTTCCTAGTCTTGGTCATATAACATAACGTTGTAAATGTAACGCTGGAAGATTGTCATAGTGTCATGGAAATGACTGACTTACTGGTTACTATATAGCACAATGTGTGAGATTGCAGACAAAGAAAAGGGTGTTTTAGCGACTTGAATCAAAGGTGGCGATGGGATAAGACCCTTTTCCCAGTGGAAATGTCCACTAAAATTTTAAAGTTGCGGAAAACAAAGATATGTGGGTGTGAAAATTATCAAATGAACTATCCATTGCAAACAAATCGTATTGTACGTACTGACAGAACTAAAATTCTGGTATTTTTTACAACGTAGTAATGCATTTATATAATTTTAAGAAATCATATGTGTGACAGTTGTTATATTAATTACATATATTGAACATCATTTAATCAACTCTTCATCCTGCAAGTGTCTATGCAATTATTGTTGTAATCGTTGTCTGTATGTTGTAATTATTTGTTTTGATGTTGTATTCGTGCACAGTTTGAATAATGAATATATTATGGGTGAATTTCTGTATTGAAGAACGAATCAATTCAACGCATTTGTTACCATGTTTATTTTCTTACCACGCCTATTTATGAATTATCAGTTATAAGGATGGACACAGCCCTCTTTGTTGTAGGATGTCCCCAGAGCAGCGGTGTTAAACACGATGTTTAGGTACAAGCGTGCTATTGTAACTCAGACTTTTTTAATATTTCTTTTGTTTTTTGTATATATTAGTTTGACTGTTTTCAACACAATTCTAACACGAATGGGTTATTAAATTCACCCGGAGTAAAATGAATAGAAGTTTTCAGTCAGTGTTTATCTTTTCATAATTCAAATGGAACGACATTATTTTCATAAAATATTGTGTTTCAGGTACCGTTATGTGTTCATCATTTAAGGTAATTCAATTTAAATTTAATCGATTTGGGAATAGTCGATGAAACGGTTTCGAATTTATGCGTTCTTGTTCTCAAGTTTAAGTATTCTTAGTTTGAGTCCACTGACAGTAGAGGCATCTATGTTAAAGTTATTTTCTGATTGTGTTGACAAAACTTGTTGGAAGTGATGTTCAACCCAGGGCCCTGTTTCACAAGCGGTCGTATCGTTAAGAACTGTCGCGAGTCTATGTTGAACTATTGGAACTGGGGCCGAGTGTTGTGTGGGCCAAAATAAACTACCTGTTAAAGAAAGATGAAAAACAGTAATATTATTGAAAACAAATATTGTCGGTTTTGTTGAGGATTCGAACGCAATGAAAGTCCTTAGATTTATTTAAACGTCCTCCCTAACCAAAGGATTAATCATCAATAATGTGAACGTATTGTGTTGTTTATCGAGTTACAGGTGTAAACTTCACACGCACGTATCCAGACATTTTTCCATATGTACGAACCCAACACACCATGTTGTTGTTCTGTAATTCATAAGATTACTTTTGACTCAATAAACATTGATTTTACTTCTCTTGGGCGTTCTATTAAATGTCTAACCGCATGTTACGTAAATACATATTACACGAGTCACGAATCGATACGGGCCACAACGGAATTACTCACGCTTTGACAAAAACCAATAATGAAATATGCATGTTCATTTTATTGACACCCAACCTTACATGAAATCTACAAGCTGCGTCATTCAAGGCTAAAACACATCAAAGAATCTATTTCAATGATGTCATCAATGACGAATGATCGATAGATATCAATCACCTGAATGTCACCATCTTTATTGCTTCCAAAGCGGAGCCAAGATTGTTTCGCTATGCAAATCGAATCGTAATTTAATTGACAGTGGATTAGTGATCTAAAGCAACCGAAATTACAGGTTTGTGTTGTTACGATCAGGATCCGTGTTCGACGATTTTATTGACAAAAGATCAAGGTTAGGTTACTCATCAAGAAGAAGATAATTTGTGCTATGCTGCCAAACACCTGATGATGAAATTGACGCATGGCGCCTGTCAATCAGATGTAGCTTGGATTGGCGTGTGGCGATGCAACTGACAAGTGATGTCAGCGTCCTTTGAAATTCATCACACACGTGTAAGCGATGTATGATTAAAACGCAGAGATGAAACAAATTAGGAACTGGCACGAAACTATCTTGTTAATTTCTGGATTTGTCACTTTCATGCTATTGACAGATTACAAATGAAACATGTGCAAATATTGCCCAAGTTCTTATCATACACCCACGTGCACGCTTCCCTTCAGAGCGCGTTCTTTATCGTTGTGATGTTGACTGTTATTGTATAAAATAGTTCATATTTTCTGAAAATAGTTATATTTTTTATTGATTTTTGTATGCCAGTTCCATGAGATATAGAAAAAGAAGTTTATTTCGAAAAGGTAGTTATTTTATATAGAGAGTAAATATTCGATGTTTACAAATGTAAAATAAGACTTGGATCTCAATTTACAAGTATCAAATTGTCAAGTTGTAGAGTATTTGTCCACAATAGTGCTGACACCTGCACGCTGGACTTGGTATGACGTATGCAACGGCATATCAGAGAGAATACCGCAGATCTTGCATTTTGACAACGGCGATTGCACAAATATGATCACCTAGCATAGGACACAATTAAATATATTTCTATTCTTTGCTGATGAAAAGACATAAGATACACTAGATAAAAGCGACAAAACCATTTCCATATTCATAAGACATTTCTACCAAAAACGGGTTTTTTCGACTATATCATGAGCATGTGTTTATGAACCACTATCAAATAGTGATGATACCAGGTGTTCGCGAAACTGGGAGCGTATCCTGTTCCACCGGCGGATCTCGTCACAAACACATGCAAAGGCAAGTCAATTGTTAACCTAAAAACAAGGGAACATATGGTACAAAGATACGAAGATCATATTAACATCATTTTGAAAGAACAATTATGATGGTATGGGCCGTATGGTTTTACGGATTGATAAATCTTTAACTTGTTTGCTCGTCACGCCGAAGGCCAGTGGTCGAATCCCCACATGGGTACAGTGTGAGAAGTCAATCTTTGCTATCCCCGGGCTATATTGCTGAAATATTGCTAAAAGCGGCGTAAAACCAAACTCACTCAGCACTCTGTATCCCACTCGTCAAGATGTACACCCGACTAGCCTGTGTCCAAGCGTGTAAGATAGGGTCAAAAGAAAGCCACAACCCAGAGTTGCCTTGCTTTTCTGAACTGTTGTAGCCTTGCACTACTAACAAGACGTTTCAATTTGAAACTTTGAGTTGTCCAAATTCTGATTTATAATGTTCAAAATCTTTTGAGGGTATGAAATCGAAGACTCTATAAACCTTCAAAGAAAAAGAGAGGAGTTTCGTGTCACGTGCTTCTAACAAAATCTCAGTTTGATGTTAAGACCATATATAGTTTTGCCGTTAAGTACATGAAGACAGCTGCGACGCAGTGTAGTAATGAGAAGGTTGTACACTGCTTCTAGCAGTACTTCAGTAAAATCACGGCGTGACTACTGTACATGTGGGCGCAAATCCTGAAGTGACACAAGATGGTTGACATTTATAACTCAAGAGGAAGGGTTTCATTCAGACCAAAGATACCATTCCTGGCGAATCTTGGTTCGACCACAAAATCCCGTAGATCCTGAAACGACTAAGACGTGTAACGCCTACGACCAATGGCCTTGGATCATCAGTTAAGTCATCAACTATAAACACATTAAAAAAATAAGCACATTATCAAAAACAAAACAAAACATGAAAACATGAAAAACGTCACTTGAAAGGAAGCCTTGATATATCTCTAACGTACATTGACATACGATGACGAATGTAAAGAAACAACTGATGCAATCAGTGATGACATTGATTAGCCACCCACGTCACGTCGCATCCTTATGAATATTTTACAGTAATGTAATTGAACCAGAGAACGATGGTTGTATTGATCAGCTTCGCGAAGACCTTTCAACACGCAACTTTGTTTATATGTGAGAAACTGACATTCAGAGACACAAGTGAGTTTGTACAGATGTCATAATTAAATAACGTCCTGGTACTTCAGCCGATTGTCTATATAGTTTATGCATTTTGGGTGAATTGTTTCAGTAAACGCCTGTTGAGGTGTCGTTTTGTCTTAAACTCTCCCAGAAGTTTTTGCCGATATTGGGGGTTTAGTGAGGATTGGCTATGCACTGAGACAACACGTTGGGATGTCATACACTGAGATGAAGACCGCTCATCGACCTGAAGACTGTATAATGCAGGCCATCCCTGCAGGTCACCTGTCATGAGCTATTGTACGTCATCCTGTTAATACATCACTCGCGGTCTTGGTTGGGGAATCACTTTTCTATTTGATTTAGTGCATGTTGTTGAAGTGAGTGAGTAAGTTGGGTTAAACACCGCTTTGAACAGTATTCCAGTTATAATTGGGCGTTTCCGCTAGGTGTGGGAGCATGTACTTTGAGGCCACAGAAAACAAATTTGCTATATGACGTCGGTCTGTGACTATTCGACTGTTGGTCAACAAACCAGTGGTTGACTAGTTCAGGTGAGGTGAAATGCGGTTTAACGTCGTGTCCAAGATTATTGCATTTATATAACGACATGCATACACGTGTGTGTATGGCTGCTTGTACTAGTCCAGACTTATGCCGATTTTATCATGCTAGCCCACTGAGATACCAGTTTAACAGGAATACCCCAGTATACACAGTATACTATCTCCGATCCGACCAGTCCTTGTTTTAGCCCCTTAATGTTATGCCGAGCGTCAGGCAGAGTAACAGTACTATCTTACAACAACGTCTTTTGGTTAAGACGCAGCCGGGGATCGAACCCCGAACCTTCCGCTCTCCGGGCGAACGCTGTACCACCAGACCACGGAGGCGATGACAAGTTCAGCATCCGTTCATGCTGTAGGGGGCATGCATGGTGACACAATCAGCCAAACAAGTCAGCCACTGTACCCTCCCGATCCCCTTTAGTCGGCACTATACGATAAGAATAGGGCCCTCGGCCTCCGTGCCGCAGTGTCCCCAGAGGAGTTTAACATGCCCCTGGTATAGCAGGTACAGAAGCTCACCTCTATACAGTGATATCACATTAAAGCTGTGAGGACGTGCCAACCTAAACTCCCGGGCAAAGGAAATATACACCCATGTTTGACGGTTGCTAAAATGAAAACAAACAAGAAATGGTTAATCGATGGGGATGTTTTTGACAAAGATATCATAGTTGTGTTTTGGATCTCTAGTTTGCAGTGTTTCGGCGACTGTTTTCAGCCTAGTAACGTTTTGATAACGTTTGTAATTTTTTGGTCAAATCCAATTTTCAAGTGCATACTTTCTTTTGTCCGATAGTTTAGTTATGTTTGTAAGCAAGACATAATGCACAATAATTGGATACACTGGTTTGCTATAGATCCTCCGAAGATGTTGTGATAAACCTCATACTTTGTTGTATATTCTGTGAGAAGATTAATGTCCACAAGTCATTCTCCACAGTCTTATTTCCCTGATATGATTCCAGGGAAACTCATGTAAAACAGAGTCAGAGGTATTGCTGGATACTGACAAGGAACATTATTATGTACATATATATGTACCTGTAAGAACAACAAAAGTAATAAGTAAAGAAAAGTGGAAACTTAGCAAGGTGACGTTCTTACATATATATATATATATAATATATACAATATCTGCCTCTTCGCTTCATTCCACATGATGAAGGAGTATGTATAAACACCGAAACGTTGTGTTCCTCTGACATCCACAAATTCTCTTCCTATGTGTTTCACTTCCAAAATCCGGTTGCTCATGTTCAAATAGTATTTAGACACGTTTCTTCTGATAACGAGCAGTTGCGCTCCCTTCATTGCAAGGTTGGGTTCAGTTTGACGAGGTGTCGATTTCCATGGGGAGAATGATGGATGGGGTGTGTGTGGTTGGTTGGTGTGTGTGTGTGTGTGTGTGTGTGTGTGTGTGTGTGAGAGAGAGAGAGAGAGAGAGGGGGCGGGGGTGCTCTGGGGTAGATTATGATCACCTGTAGCAGTAACTACATGCTACAGTATGCAAGAAGTAACCAACTTCTCCCGTTACACTTGACCGCCAGATGACCACAAGTGATTAGCGGTGCCTTGTGTCAACTGACCATCGGTTGCCTATTTCATCCAATTTCAAGCGTGAAAATATGGCTCAGAATGATACTCAAAACCTGTCTTTATGGATGTGAATTACTCTATGACATCAAGGGTCAACATGCCGCTCTGTTGGAAGGCACGCAAACATATTTTGCACGCATTGTACAGGGTCTTGATAAAAGATCTCCTTCAGAATCCACTATTGCGAAACTTGGACTTTGGACAATTACTGCATATATTGATAAATGAAAACTTTTATTTCTTGGTCGTTTAAGCAATCTGAACTGTAATAACTTTGCAAAAAATATTTTTTGTGCGTCCATTGCAAGCCCTGTCAATTCAAAGACAATGTGTGGAGAACTTAAATCAACACTTGATAAATACAATCTGGTTACCTACCTTAGTAAATATACTCGGTATGGTACTTCCCCCCCCCCCCCCCCCCCCCCCCCCGAAATTGAAATGGAGAAATCATGTTAATGAAACCAAATGCAAATACGAAGAACAATTATGGCTCACAAATGTATCAAATAACGCAAACATGTCCCGTTATAAGAGAATTCATACGAAATCAACATACCATGTACTTTGACAATTAGCTTTTCTGTACCCGGAATATCTACCTGCTTTACAACTTTGTGTGAAAGTGAATGCAAGCTCTGTAATAGGAATGCTTTCGACTCTGACAGCCAGATTATTTTACATTGTGAAGCGCTTATATCAGAAGGAAATGCGTTTTTCTCTTCTCCCATTAATTTACGTTACGTTAAAAAATATGTTGATTTTGAAATGCAAGACGAAACAGATATGTTATCATTCTTATTTGGGGCTGAAACCAAATTTACTCTCAATCTGGATCAACACATCTGGGAAACTATTATACTACAATACTATATTACAAACTAAGGCATCTTTTGATACATACCTTTTAGTATCTATCTATCTCTCTCTCTCTCTCTCTCTCTCTCTCTCTCTCTCTCTCTCTCTCTCTCTCTCTCTCTCTATTTCTCTCTCTCTCTCTCTTTCTCCACACTTAGAACATATCTCTTTCGTTTTCACAATAATTAGGTTTAAACTTTAATTAAGTAAAAATTGAAAATTGGACGTTACTGAAACGTTACTAGGCTGGAAACAGTCGCCGAAGGACTTCAGCTTCAAAACACAACTATGATACCTGTATTAAATGCATCATCATCGAATGACCACTTTTTTGTTTGTTTGAGGTTTGGCCATCAAACATGGTTATGTACGTCCTTTAGCCCAGCAGTTTATACTAACACGTCACCCATGCCGCAACAGTGTAGAATAGTCCACAACTTAATATCCATGTGTATAAAAACAGATTTGACTGGCATGTATGGTACATTATACGATTTATGTGGCAGATACAACTTAAAGGAAGGAATCGACCCATATCCACGTCTGGGAGACTTAATGTGCCACATGATCTGAATATGTCACAACGTAATTCCCTTTTCTGTAGATGACACCAGTTAGAACTACCGGTAAGAAAAAACGGACGCTACGATAACTTAAGCCTCCATATTGGTTTCAGCATAAAGCTGCGCTTGAATTTAGCACTCGATAGTCACCTTAAATTCTTAAGGGTGAAATTACAATGGCAGTAATTTGGGATAAATTTGACGTGTCGCACAGATACAATATATGACCTGATCGGCTGATTATTCGTCATGCCACGACGGCGTGCGTCGGCGTTCATTATGTTTACCACTGGTTTACCGGGACCAATAAGTGGCCGACGTTATAGAGATAAATATTACTGAGTGCAGCGTAAAATAACAGTCACTCACTCATAAACGTATTTTCATAAGCCAATTCCGTAGCATCCTCTCCCATCCAAAACATAAATCTTGTAGATTTGGCCGATTTTCTATCATAAGAACCCATGGAGGTATCAGACATATGAAGTTATCATAAGTTAAAAATTAGATGTATGACCAACTATCAACACTCGCACGAAGTTTAAAAGTAGGAAATTGACATTTCACAATACCAGAATATTTTAAAAGAGATTAAAAGAGTATTAAAATCTGTTGTGTCACCAGAACACTGGTGTATTTTTGCGTTCAAAATTATTTCATGTCAAACAGTTTATCAAAGCTTACTGCACTTCGAAATAGTCTTGCGTCTATATTTCACCTTCAGTCCACAGCCCGTATACTCCCAGAAAGTGTTTCGTTCAAGGAGGAAGTCTCGCTTTGTTTCATGAACCTGTGCTGTCCAGTTCGGAGTGGAGATGTGCGTACACCTAATTAGCTAACAATGTAAGTAATTTATATGTACTTCCAAGTACCATGTTTTTGTGAATGTAAGTACTAACATATCGACCTGCGATTAATCAATGCATGGTGTCGGAGGTGATTCAGGGGACGGTTGGTACACGCACAATGAATCACTGAGCGGATTCTAAAGGGAAGATGGTGATGATGATAATGATAATGATGATGGTGATGGTGATGATGACAGATGATGATGAAGATGATGATGATGATTATGATGCCATGACCATGATGATCAAGACGTTGTTGTTGTTCTGAAAAGAATTTACTAGGCATAACGAAAAAATGGCAAAGGTAACTTGGTTTAAAAACTTGCTCCGTGCAGGTCTGCAGCTTATATTCATATTGAAGAACCCCGATAAAACGACTGGGCAACACTACATGAAACATCACGCGCATGAAGCGATAACGTCAGAATCACGACATATACAACCTGCCAATCACGACAGCGAATACCTGTCAATCATTCGCTATCAGTTTACCACCTAAGATATACCTCACCACTAACCACTATAATTTTTGTATTTCGTTACCACGGTTACCCATTGTAACAAAGCATGACAAACGTCAATGATGTCACGACCACGTGACAAGTCTGAGGCGTCATGAATAATAATTAATTAATAAGCACTTTAGTAGATATTTAAAAGCAGCCAAACTTTGTTCGCGTCACACATCCCGGTCCCAGGCAATGGCTCTACCTGCACGCAGCGATCGAAGCCAACAGAGAACTGTTTACAACGCTCGAAGTTCGCGCTCCTGTGATCACTGATTGATTTGTCTCGGCACAACAGATCGAACACTCCTTAATCATCAACAGCACACACATTTATAGTAGAATTGGGATTTCTAAGCTTGGAGAACCCAGCTTGAATATATTTTGGTCAGAAATATTCTATTCTACATATTTTGTTCAGTGCAAAGGAACACTTATTATCTAAGATGACACAAGTTGCTTTACTGAGCGCGTTGTGTTTGGGTACAGCCTTTGGTATCATCATTCAACCAGACATCGATCTACCCAAATTAACACTGGAGAAAGGTAAGCTATGATTCCATTTTGAATTATTACATTGTTTTCAAAATTACATTGTAGTAGACTTTCGTCATATTTCTTAACTTTAGTTCAAAGCAATTGGATCTCTTATCAGAAGGATGAACATTCAGTCAATTAAAGAACATTTAAACAAATGAGAATACAATAAATATTAATTGAAAGTGGGATTATCTGGATGCAATAATGTCTAAGGCGACATGCGACATGTCGTTATGCAGAGTTGCGTCCCTTAGACGTGACAGGATCCTATGATCGTGGGTTCGAAATCAAGATTTGCCCTGACTATGATGCTTCGTATAATACCTGTGCTTGTGGGTTTCATCAAAGTTTCATCAACATCTAAGACCTGCCCGCTTTCTCAGACAAACAGCTGATATGCCATGATATTGCTGACATAATGTTCAACCGACGTTAAAACAACTCCCTGACTCATTCGCATTTCCCCAACCTTACATATTATCAGTTTTTATTCAAGGGTTTTGTTCAGTTACATATGTTATTATACCTTTCATCAACATGTATGTTCAAATGTCAAAAACTCTTCTTTTATTAATTTTCTACTTATTGTGGTTATAACCACAGAGTTTTGTAGCACAGGAATTATCCGCTAATTCCTTATTACTAAAGAAGGCACAGGTGGCCCAGTCGTCTACGGCGCCGCGATTGTCTGTGCAGAGATGCGTCCCGTGGACACGCCATATACATCTTGCTGCTATTATTTGCGTTACAAGCCCCTGTAGTTCAACCAGTGTCGTCATCATCGTAATCATTATCAGCATCAGACCTCTGAATAACGATGGAGTTGATCACTCTCTCGCGGCTTTACAAATAACTATGTATCTATATCTTTTGCGATGATACAGTCAAATAATTCAACTATTTTGGTTGGGAAAAACAAGCAATTATCCATTTACTCACCATTACTATTTACACAATAGCCTGCCTTTTTTTTATCAACTTAACATTAAAAAAATCATGTATTTTTTTATTTTTTTTCTACTTTCCTTGGTTCTTTTGCTATATTTAATCCTAAACATAATAACCCAGGTTCGTCCTGATTATGTTTCTTCAAGTACATGTGGACGTCCAAGACCTGACTCACTTCGGGTTTTATCAAAATGAAGTCGTGATATTACTGGAATACTGTTCAAAATGTGCTTATCCACTCACTCAGAATACTAGATAAATTTGGTCTAGCCTACATATGACCAAATACATTACCTAGGTCATTCATATATTTATATTTTTCATCGTAACCATCATCAGCATTTGAAATCGATGGAGTCGTAGCGTTATAACCTACAAATAACTAAGCATAAAAATATTGGTGTCATACAGTCAAATGTCTGACACCTAACGCGCCTCATACGACAAGTACATCTTTCTGGGGTTCTGTTTTACGCCGGAACCCCCGCGGAGTCATTAAGAAACATACATGACGCAACATTCCTTATCCGATCCGTCCACATCAACAAACAACACAGAAACCAGAAAGACAAATACTGTCAATCCACACAATGTACGCCTACTGATATTTGTCAAATCGATGTATGTTTCTGTGCGATCAAACACACATATCATGACAGACATCAGATCATTTGATGTGCTTGAAAGAATACTTCCCAACATCGATTTCCTGAAATAAACAAATGTAACCAAGTGCTACTTGTTTTAAAAAATAAAACAGAAACTTTTTACTGTCCATAAAGTTTGTAACTTTCACTATTGCTATCTGTCAAATCGATATTGACAACGGTCACTTCCTGGTTGTCTATTTCAGTTTGGAGAATGCACCCTTATAACGCTCTTAAGATGTTGACAGGATAATCATATCTGTTGGGTTTTAATCTATAATAGCTACAAATATCTACCGAAATAGAATAAATGGATTAACTTTGTATGTCGTCCCTGTTTAAAAACCCTTGCTTATGTCGTCGTGTTGGGAAAGTCGCTTAAAGCTGTTGATCCCTTACTCACTTGTGACGAAAGAATTGATTTATTGTCGTGAAGTTTGTCAGTATGATCACGTGACGTTGAAAGCCAACACGTTTACAGGTAATTGATCAATATAATTCATTGCGTGAAGGAGATAACTGTCATATAATGCTTTCTTTGGCGTGTATAATTCGATAGAAACACTCAAATGAATGCATCACGGGTTTTACTTGCGTAAGACGGTAAGATCAATTTAATTGACAGTAGCATTAAGTTAAGTTAAGCTATATCAAAGTTGAATGCTTGAAACAATAACATAATACACCTACATCAACACTCACTCACCTACACCTACATCCATCCATCTTTATTCACCCATTCATTTATCATCCACCCATCCATCTTTATTCAATCATTCATCCATCCATCTCCATTCACCCATCATCCATCTTCATTCATTCATCCATCCATCTTCATTCATCCATCATCCACCTATCCATCTTCAGTCATTCATCCATCTTTATTCACCATCCGTCCATCCATCTTTATTCATTCATCCACCATCCATTCATCTTTATTCACCCATCCATCTTTATTCATTCATTCATCCATCCATCTTTCTTCACCAATCCATTTATTATCCACCATCCATCTTTATTCATCCATCATCCATCCATCTTTATTCATTTATCCATTCATGATCTTCATTCATTCATCCATCGATCCATCTCCATTCATTCATTCATTTACGGCCATTCAGTAAGATACGCTAAGGAGTATTTATAAAACAAACAGTGACAGTGACGTATGGTTTGGGAGGGCCATCTGGATGTGCACTGTATGGCAGTTGATCAGATGGTCTTTGAATGAACCAACGTACCAGACCATCCTGGTTGTGGTTGTGTCTCACAGGACATAAACGTGTTATCAGACACTGGTATCATTGATCATGATCCATTTCATGTCTTCAGCAACCCATGCTTACCGTAAAAGGCGACTATGCTTGTCGCAAGAGGTAGTCAGGCTCGCTCACTTGGTTGATGCATGTCATCGTACCCCAATTGCGTGGATTGATGTGCATGATTTCATCACTCAGTTGTCTTGTCTTTTACTTTGTCTTTGGTTCAATTATTCATAGTTACAAGCGGTTACAGTGTGTGGCCTAGATGATAGAGTGTCATCATACCCTTCTCCATACTTTTGTAGAAAGTTGTCAACCCATGCACTTTACCTGGATGAGATTAGTCTATTCACTGGCTGCCGTGTATTAATGTAATGTCGCTAGCTGGGGGAAATGAACTCACACATACACATGTCATCTTTACGTAAAATTCTTTCTTTTCCGGGTAAGCATGGTTGGCAATGAGGGGCTTGAAAATGTTAAACAAGCCATCCTTTTTCCTCAACTAAATTAAATAACCACACTGACGGAAATGCTTTGTTAGGTTTACTAACTTAGTGAATTTCATAGTCAACTCAGACACTAACATTTTAGTAGATTTTACTAATCAGTTAGTATTTTTTAACCCGGTGGCCTATCGTTACTAACTACAAAAGGTTAAGTAGTAATACGATATTCTTTCATTGTCAGCTTCCTGTATGAGAGAAATATTATTATGCATATAGCAACAGCACACTGAAGGACACATAGATTTTTAAACCTCGGATGGATTTGAAACTGCAACAACCTGTAGGTTTGATAGTCCGTCACGCTACCACATATGCTATAGAGACTGTTGTCGCCACAAGTGTAACTTTTCCTTGTCACCATTCGCTTGGTTTGTTCGTACATGTATATGTAAATATTGTACCAAGTTCGTTGTAAGTCCTAGTGGTATCTGTGTTATGCAAGTGCCTGTGAAGCTGATTTGCACAGCTACTTTCAATATATATCATACACTCATCTATATTAGACTCATCGACTGATGATATGCACTTTATTTAACACTGTTTAACATGTCTAAATTCTAAACATATTTAAAAATGTTTAAATTCTATTGGAATGTTGTGTTAATATATAAGGTGATGTTTAGCTAAGAGGCGATAGCTCATTTCATGTGTTTGTTGAACGTGTTCAGATAGAACACACCAAAATGTGCATACCGTTTAGGATTGAAAAACATTCCTAAACATGTCTTCTATGCCTTGTCACATTCTTAACACAATTTTACAGTGTAGATTTTACTTATAAGATAAGTGATATTTACTTATCTTCAGCATCTTTGTGAAATCTGTAAAGCAGGATAGCAAATTCGCTGTTTACTAACCTCCTGGTCGCTAGTTACTAATTAAGTTAGTATAAATCACTAGGCTTTTTTGCTCAGTGCAGTTCAAAACGAACGAATGAGTTAGTGCTGACAAACCTGGAAGCATAATCGGGACGAACCGGAATTCAAACCCATGACAATAGGTTTCTGCCATTCCCAAGGGACGCAAACGCACTTCAAATTGCTGCGCCACTCATTACAAACGAGCCATGTAAGAACCGTTATGAATATTCAATATGAAAACAATATCACAATGGAGACCAGCTTCACCATTTTCAGTCTAGACGTTGTACATTGTCAAATTAAAACATGTACCTAGTCTTCAACACTTCTCTATCTGTTTGCAGCCTGCCCCGGTACCCACATGGGCTTCAGCTATTCCGGGTCTCTCCGACGTCACTACCGGTACATGCAACGGCGTTACACCGGCTGCACATACGTGCAGGGGAATCTCGAGATCACGCACCTGCGTCACAAAAACATCAACTACGACCTCAGTTTCCTCCGCTCCATCCGTTACGTCAGCGGCTATGTGCTCATTGGCCTGGTAACGCGGGTTCGGGAGATACCCCTGACGAGTCTAGAGGTCATCAGAGGTAACCAGACACTTGAACTCTTCGGGAGACAGTTTGGACTTGCCGTAACCTTGACCTCCAGGTCGTATGGATCGAGGAGAGGTTTGCAAGAGCTCCAACTGCCGAAATTGAGAGGTAATAGGTATATGTTTACAGTCCATGATTTCATCTCCAGCATACTGTATTATACTACTTACTGGTTGAGAGGGATGTTGCTCTATAAGTCATGGATGAAGACAGATGACTTATTATATGTATATACATCTTCCCGAAGCAAGGGAGTTAACTGACTTTAAAAGTCCAGTTTCCACCCTTGCCGAACTAGGCTTGAATTCCCTGACTCGATCGTAGCGCCACCAGTGGTTATTATCTCGTATCACTTGCATTTGTTTCAGACAAAATGACGGCGCCCAGTCAAGACAATCTGATCGATAATCAAGACCTATATTGTGATAAAACAGGTCTTAAATCGCGAAGTGCATCAAATCACATGAGCACATTGATAAAAAACATGAAAGACTTCGAAAATATCTGTTGACAACGAGTTGGCGGTGCACATGTTTTGCAAATCCTGCAATCGACCGAAATCTGCACCACAGTTTACGAACGAGATTTCGATTTCGTTGTGCGATTTTGATTTGACTATGCATAGACTCGTTAGTCCAGCCAAACTGTAACTCCATAATACCAGTCTAATTCGGCAAGGGTGGAAACTGGATTTTTATAGTCAGTTAATTCTGTTGCCTCGGGAAGATGATCTATAGACAAATAGTATGAAATATCTAAATTTCCCTATTAACAGATAAGTATATAGTATACACATGACTATATATTGGATTGTTCCACCGTTCCTTAAAACAAATAGTATTCAATAGTAGAGTTCAACATAAATATAATCTATGTTTGATAAAGGTATGCTTTTGGCAAAATGGATAGTTCTACAAGCGCTATTTCTTCACATTGTAGCATTGATACATGTTTTCTACTTTGATCGTTTCATGCATGATAAAGTTATGAAATCCGACATCTTCTCGAAGTATATAGACACATGTTATTTACCCACAGAGATTTCTGGGGGCGATGTGCTGTTTGCAAACAACCCCGGACTGTGTTACGTCCAGACCATCCTCTGGGAGGCCATCATCAACGGTGGGAGGAAGGCCATGCTCAAAGGAGACCAACCACTCGCTAAACGATGTGAGGATGTAGTAGTTTTCTAATGTTTTGACCCCACCCACCACCTTTCAGAAATCTTATTTATCAACCCGCCAGTGTGTTTTCTCCTTGGTTACTTGTAACCTCCTTTTTCAAACCGTTTTTGGTCGTAAGAGGCGACAAACATCTTGGTTTCAGGCTCGATCTACGATACTCATGATGTCAATCACTGTATTCTCTGGTCAAGACTCGATTATTTACAGACCGCCGTCATGAGTGCGGCGCTAAACAATAAACCAGCAAACTGTCAAAAAATCTGGCCTTGTTGCAAGGATCGAAATTATCACTCATTCGTTTTTAATTAAAGCTTAGTTTGTAACATGCATAAGTTGTGTTATCATATCAACTCATTTATGGAAAGTTATCCCTGGGGCGGTGTAGTAGTAAGGCAGTGAATGCGTTCTCCCGCACTAGTATTATTTAAGAAGTTCATTTAGGGTATCGCCGCGGCAATTTTCTTCCCTCTGCATCGTCAAGACCAAACAGGCCCATCGGTTAAGTTTTACTCCAACGTATATTGTTAGACTTGTAAGCTTTGTCATGTGATGTCCGCATCAACAAGCTGAGTGCGTGTGTCTCTCTGCCCAGGTTTGCCGTGCTCCAGTCACTGTCAACAGCAAGGTACCAGGCGGTGCTGGGGAAGGGGGAAGCAACTCTGTCAGAAAAGTAAGTAACAGGGTCAAGGGCATCTTCCCGATGCAAGGAGTTAATTGACTATAAAAGTCCAGTTTCCACCCTTGCCGAACTAGGCTGGTATAATGGAGTTACATTTTGGCTGGACTAACGAGTCTATGCATAGTCCAATAAAAATCGCGCAACGAAATCGAAATCGGTTTGTAAACTGTCGTGCAGATTTTGGTCGATTGCAGGATTGCAGGATTGGCAAAGCATGTGCAGCGCCAACTCGTTGGCAGCAGATATTTTCTAAATCTGTTCATGTTATTAATCAAAGTGCTCACGTGATTTGATGCATTTCGCGATGTAAGACCCGTTTTAACACAATGTAGATCTTGATTATCGATCCGATCGTCCTCACTGGGCGTCGCAATTTTGTTTGAAACTAATGCAAGTGATACGAGAGGCTGAATCTGATTGGTCAGTAGGAGAGGCTTAGAAGGTAAATAACAGGTAATAACCACTGGTGGCGCTACGATCGAGCTCAGTAATTCCAGCTTAGTTCGGCAAGGGTGGAAACTGGACTTTTAAAGTTAGATAACTCCCTTGCTTCGGGAACATGGGTCATGGGATGTTTGCGCATAAAGGTCTCTATATGTCCCATGTTTGCCCTAACTTCTACTACTACTACTACTACTACTACTACTACTACTACTACTACTACTACTACTACTACCACCACTACTACTACTGCTATGCTACAAAACAACATTGACATAATCTCGTGGCCAGGCACCCTACTACTACTTCTACTACTACTACTACTACTATTACTACTACTACTACCACCACCACAACTACTACTGCTATGCTACAAAACAACAATCTCGTGGCCAGGCACCTCCTCCTACTACTACTACTACTACTACTACTACTACCACCACTACTACTACTGCTATGCTACAAAACAACATTGACATAATCTCGTGGCCAGGCACCCTACTACTACTTCTACTACTACTACTACTACTACTACTACTACTACTATTACTACTACTACTACCACCACCACAACTACTACTGCTATGCTACAAAACAACAATCTCGTGGCCAGGCACCTCCTACTACTACTACTACTACTACTACCACCACTACTACTACTGCTATGCTACAAAACAACATTGACATAATCTCGTGGCCAGGCACCTACTACTACTACTACTACTACTACTACAACTACTACTACTACTACCACCACTACTACTACTGCTATGCTACAAAACAACAATCTCGTGGCCAGGCACCCTACTACTACTTCTACTACTACTACTACTACTACTACTACTACTATTACTACTACTACTACCACCACCACAACTACTACTGCTATGCTACAAAACAACAATCTCGTGGCCAGGCACCTCCTACTACTACTACTACTACTACTACTACCACCACTACTACTACTGCTATGCTACAAAACAACATTGACATAATCTCGTGGCCAGGCACCTACTACTACTACTACTACTACTACTACTTCTACTACTACTACAACTACTACTACTACTACCACCACTACTACTACTGCTATGCTACAAAACAACAATCTCGTGGCCAGGCACCTCCTCCTACTACTACTACTACTACTACTACTACCACCACTACTACTACTGCTATGCTACAAAACAACATTGACATAATCTCGTGGCCAGGCACCCTACTACTACTTCTACTACTACTACTACTACTACTACTACTACTACTACTACTACTACTACTATTACTACTACTACTACCACCACCACAACTACTACTGCTATGCTACAAAACAACAATCTCGTGGCCAGGCACCTCCTACTACTACTACTACTACTACTACCACCACTACTACTACTGCTATGCTACAAAACAACATTGACATAATCTCGTGGCCAGGCACCTACTACTACTACTACTACTACTACTACTACTACTACTACTACAACTACTACTACTACTACTACTACCACCACTACTACTACTGCTATGCTACAAAACAACAATCTCGTGGCCAGGCACCCTACTACTACTTCTACTACTACTACTACTACTACTACTACTACTACTACTACTACTACTACTACTACTATTACTACTACTACTACCACCACCACAACTACTACTGCTATGCTACAAAACAACAATCTCGTGGCCAGGCACCTCCTACTACTACTACTACTACTACTACTACCACCACTACTACTACTGCTATGCTACAAAACAACATTGACATAATCTCGTGGCCAGGCACCTACTACTACTACTACTACTACTACTACTACTTCTACTACTACTACAACTACTACTACTACTACTACCACCACTACTACTACTGCTATGCTACAAAACAACAATCTCGTGGCCAGGCACCTACTACTACTACTACTACTACTACTACTACTACTACCACCACTACTACTACTGCTATGCTACAAAACAACAATCTCGTGGCCAGGCACCTCCTACTACTACTACTACTACTACTACCACCACTACTACTACTGCTATGCTACAAAACAACATTGACATAATCTCGTGGCCAGGCACCTACTACTACTTCTACTACTACTACTACTACTACTACTACTACTACTATTACTACTACTACTACCACCACCACAACTACTACTGCTATGCTACAAAACAACAATCTCGTGGCCAGGCACCTCCTACTACTACTACTACTACTACTACCACCACTACTACTACTGCTATGCTACAAAACAACATTGACATAATCTCGTGGCCAGGCACCTACTACTACTACTACTACTACTACTACAACTACTACTACTACTACCACCACTACTACTACTGCTATGCTACAAAACAACAATCTCGTGGCCAGGCACCCTACTACTACTTCTACTACTACTACTACTACTACTACTACTACTATTACTACTACTACTACCACCACCACAACTACTACTGCTATGCTACAAAACAACAATCTCGTGGCCAGGCACCTCCTACTACTACTACTACTACTACTACCACCACTACTACTACTGCTATGCTACAAAACAACATTGACATAATCTCGTGGCCAGGCACCTACTACTACTACTACTACTACTACTACTACTTCTACTACTACTACAACTACTACTACTACTACCACCACTACTACTACTGCTATGCTACAAAACAACAATCTCGTGGCCAGGCACCTCCTCCTACTACTACTACTACTACTACTACTACTACCACCACTACTACTACTGCTATGCTACAAAACAACATTGACATAATCTCGTGGCCAGGCACCCTACTACTACTTCTACTACTACTACTACTACTACTACTACTACTACTACTACTACTACTACTACTACTACTATTACTACTACTACTACCACCACCACAACTACTACTGCTATGCTACAAAACAACAATCTCGTGGCCAGGCACCTCCTACTACTACTACTACTACTACTACCACCACTACTACTACTGCTATGCTACAAAACAACATTGACATAATCTCGTGGCCAGGCACCTACTACTACTACTACTACTACTACTACTACTACTACTACTACTACTACTACTACAACTACTACTACTACTACCACCACTACTACTACTGCTATGCTACAAAACAACAATCTCGTGGCCAGGCACCCTACTACTACTTCTACTACTACTACTACTACTACTACTACTACCATTACTACTACTACTACCACCACCACAACTACTACTGCTATGCTACAAAACAACAATCTCGTGGCCAGGCACCTCCTACTACTACTACTACTACTACTACTACTACCACCACTACTACTACTGCTATGCTACAAAACAACATTGACATAATCTCGTGGCCAGGCACCTACTACTACTACTACTACTACTACTACTACTACTACTACTACTACTACTACAACTACTACTACTACTACCACCACTACTACTACTGCTATGCTACAAAACAACAATCTCGTGGCCAGGCACCTCCTCCTACTACTACTACTACTACTACCACCACTACTACTACTGCTATGCTACAAAACAACAATCTCGTGGCCAGGCACCTACTACTACTACTACTACTACTACTACTACTACTACTACTACCACCACTACTACTACTGCTATGCTACAAAACAACAATCTCGTGGCCAGGCACCTCCTACTACTACTACTACTACTACTACCACCACTACTACTACTGCTATGCTACAAAACAACATTGACATAATCTCGTGGCCAGGCACCTACTACTACTACTACTACTACTACTACTACTACTACTACTACTACTACTACTACTACTACTACTACTACAACTACTACTACTACCACCACCACTACTACTACTGCTAGGCTACAAAACAACAATCTCGTGGCCAGGCACCTACTACTACTACTACTACTACTACTACTACTTCTTCTTCTATTACCGCCACCACCACTACTACTACTATGTTACAGACAACATTGACATAATCTCGTAGCAAGGCACCATACATTTTGACGCAGGCGCCACTCATTTATTTGTCAAATGACTGTCGGAAATAAAGCATTGAAACTTTTACACGAATTACAGTTTTTAATAAGTGTTAAATTCTTCACCAACTGTGGAGGTTCCCGAAAGTTTCTGGTAATGATCGCTCACATTACCCATGAAGGAAGTATACACGTGTGACACCAGTGTATAGGAAAGGAGCTATGTTAAGAAGCATGCGATGTTTTCCTTTGTTCTGGCTTTGCAGATTAACACTGGTTAATGCCCCTCTTAACAAATTAAACTGTTTGGTTTATCTCATATTTATACACAATATAAACAAAATGGATTACCCCAAACATTCCAGTTTTGTCATAAGTATTATTACATAGATACAGAAAACACTTATTACATTTGATGGCCGGTGGAGTAGTTTAGTGGTTAAAGCGTTCGCTCGTCACACCTAAGACCCGGGTTCGATGCCCCACATGGGTAAAATGTGCGAAACCCATTTCTGGTGTCCCCTGCCGTGATATTGCTGGAATTTTGCTAAAAGCGGCGTAAAAGAATACTCACTCACTCGCTTATTACGTGTGATGTTCAGCTGTCATCATGAGTTGGCCACGTCACATACCGGCCACAAAACCCACCACCACAGATCTGGTACCGAGACGTCAACTCAGGTACAAAGACATATAACCGTTGCACCAGCAGCTGTAGGGAGTCTGACAAACGCACAACACGTGTACCCAATAAAATGAGAGAACTTGTCCTGTTCCAGTCGAGCCCTTGACCTGTGACCCCTCGTGTCCGTACCGGTGCTTCGGACCTGGGAAGGAGGGATGCTGTCACAGCCAGTGCGCCGCCGGATGTTGGGACGAGACCGAGGCTGACTGTGAGGTGAGAGTGAGGTTCAGACGTAACGATATCAGATTCATAGACGTCACTAATCTTGATGTCCACAACCACTGTAAAGTACATATGCTACCGCATAAATGTCTTTACTCTTGACAAACAAGAGATCATCATCACAATTATAATTTAAATTCTGAAAAAAGCTGCTTTCTAATTGGCTGATGTTGACTTCTTGTTAGTTGTTTCAGTGGTCGGTCAAAGTTCGCGAAAGGCCGTTCTGATGTGAACCGTAATGGGATGTCCTCTGATTTTAATGATATTGCTTTTAACTTCTTACCCCGGGACCCCAAAGTTGTAAATGTCACGAATGCCGTGAATGGTCAGGAATGGTGTAGTGTAGTTTAGTGTAGCGTATTGTAGTGGTGACGTTTCGTGACCACTTCGGACAAACAACTTCGTTTTAAACTTCGTTTTAAACAAAGATTACAAGAAAAACGCCTCGTCAACTAGCGAGGATTCCAGGATTCAATGATCCTGGGTTCGAATCCAAGTTTCGCCCTGATTATGATCCTCTTTCCTGTTGTTCAGGAAAACAGTAATAGTCTACGGCTTGCATCAGCTTTATTCTCGTATGTGGCTGACCCGATGTCGTCCAACAGAACTATTGTCCAAAGCGGTGAATAACTCAAGTGACGTGGTAAACGTCTTGGCATGCGTCTTTTTGGACATTACCAACTATCTTAGTCAATCAGCTTCAAAGTAAGCCTGGGATTCCAGGTTAGTGGTCAGACTTGATGACTTTGTTGTGTCATCGAACACCGACGATGTTCATAATATCAATCACCGGTTTGTCTGATGTATGATTTTGATTTGTAGACCGCCGTGATGAAAGTGCGCGGAGTGTTCCTGAATGCACCTTATAACAAACATAACGATTATCTACAAGTATGCAAATAAAATACCATTTACATTTGTTATATATCTCGTTTCAGATATGTAAAAACTACTACTACCAGGGCCGCTGTGTGGGCTGGTGTCCATACGCTCCCAACACGTATGCTTTCGGCTCGATGTGCCTTAAGTTTTAAATATGTGTCACCTCGGATAATCTCCCTCTGTATCATTCAAGGATCGATGTTCACGGAAATGATCGATGACTCATGCCTAAACCCGGATACCTCATGGACTTTGATCACAGAGGCATGACATTAAATGACATTTACTATCGTCGCCGTGCTCGTTTTACCCTATCAGATCAATAGTGACATATAAGATTGAAGTAACTGCACTTTTCGGGGAGTAGCATTTGCAGCCATTAGACAATGAGAGGAAACTATATTCCAAGTCGAATGTAAGTTGTACCAAAGAGCCTATGTATGTTTAAAGACCACGTAGGTACAAGAGGACCACGTGTAGGGACAAGACGACCAGCCGGTGCAATTCTGTCTATCTGGTGCACGGAAATGGGGCTTTCCAGGTGTATTGATATTACTAGATAGGGTAAAGGTTAATGATCATGCGGGCTAAGCTCTGGATAACCAAATCGCTTTTTCTGGACAGGAAAGACATCAAACCATTGGTGCCTGCTTCTCGAAAGGTCACATTGAAAAATACGCTTATGCACTCCAGTGCTGTTCATTGGTAATTTTGGATGAAAAGGCATGACGGACTTTGACGAAATTTCTATAACAGTAGTAAGATATCATATAAAGACCCGCCTATTGTCACTTAGAATCTATCATTACAAAACTGTTACACACATACTCAATGATGAACATCCGGGCATCTTAGGGTTCAACCATTTAATATTCTTGATTTTATAGAGACAGAATATTTTGTCGTCACTGGTACAAGATATACTATCAGTTTTCTCTGAAGAAGGATCCAGTTTGGGACATGGAGTGAACAATTATTTGTACATAAAAACGTAAAAAGCAAATTTGTTTGGGGGGCAGTATTTTCTTCAACCAATTTTTTCAAACAATGCTAATCGTAATAACTGTCTTTTGTGTATGAATTTCCAGGGACGCTTCCAGGGTCTCTCTTCCTATGTGATTGTCTCACGGGACAAATGTTTTCGATACCAGGATGAATACAATGAGAAACTGTGGGCAAATTTGATTTTAAAAGATCTACTCAGTTTTCGAAGTTGTCGGTTAAGCAATACCTATCTTGCGCATCTGTTCCTCATCATTGGTGGTGGTACGGCATATGTGAAGTTTATTCAGTACTTTAGTGTCGCTCTCCTGGTGTGTGCTTGCGTGCGTGCGTGCGCGCGGGGGATGTCGGGTTGCCCATCCGTTTTGTTCGCTCGTCAGTCAAGGTCCGGTTTCGATTCAAACACTGGTGAAATGTCCAAATCCCAAGGTGGCTTTAAACCATACTCTCTCACTCTGAAAGGGGGTCGCTGAACACCGGCTAAGGAATATTTGTGTAGGCATAACACAATCCAATGATACTCAACACCTTAATCATACAATAATAACAAACATTATGAGACTCGATGAGAATTAAGGATAGAAAATAAAATATCTGTTCAGTACATGGAATTGGGAATTGATAGGTATTGCTTCAGCTGTATTTATGAACTATGACACAGGTAGTTCGGGGAATGCTATCACGAGAAGAACTTCAGTTACATTGGATGTCGCTTTCAATAGTATCCGTGTATCTAAGAACAGCATAGTGTGCACTGTTTGCAGTACGCTGAGATACACCCTTAGTCCAAGTCGCTTGCCAATGATCTTTTTCACTTTTATTTTTTCAAAACGACCGCCGTACATGAGCTGAGAATATGCTTTCTTCAGGCCCACTTAGATATTTTATTGTTAGCATTTATCAAAGCACACTTAAAACTAGTCGATACCTCAAAGATGACATTTAACGCATATAATACGCTATTTTGTTCTTAGTTTTGCTCCAGTACACCAGTCATTGTCTCCATATCATGGTACAGATCGTTACATCTGGTAACTGGTGCCTCCACATGGATGCAGTTTATGTTGAAAGACAAAATGGATTTCAATAAATAAGTGTGTGAAAAGCAATCTTATCGTTTTGCATTTCTTTGTCCGGCCAACTGGGTGAGCTGGGTTTAAGGCTGCTTTGAGAAGTATCCCAGGTATATCACTGTCAGCTGAAAGTGGGAGGAAAGCCTGAAGCGATGCAGGTCTTAATCATTCACAAGTTTGTTGAAACCAACGGTCACTGGTATGGTGCTGACAAACCTTGAAACATATTTGGTGGGAACCAGGATTCGAAGCTACAATGATAGGTTTCCTGTGTGCCCAAGGGATGCAGGCTGCCATTGAATTGCAGTGCCTTAGACTGGTATACCTGGTGGCATGTTTTCAGCACCACTAGATATCCACCAGGACCAATAGATTTTTTTCTACCTACAAGAGCATTCCTTTGGACTACCAGCTAATTCCGATCAATGTCAAACACTGAAATGCCCCCATGACATGACTGCAATCATCACTTCATGTGGTAAGGGTAGGAGGTGAGGTGAAATGGGGTTTAACGTCGCGTCCAAGATGATTGCACTTATATAGCGACGTGCATGTACGTGTGTGTGTTTGTGTGGCTGCTTGTACTAGTCTGGACTGATGCCGATTTTTAGTGCTAGCTCACTGACATACCATGCCGCAGTTTAACATGAATACCAAACTCAGACACAGTATACTGACCTTGAGCCGACAGTCCTTGTTTTAGCCCCTTAATGCCGAGCGCCAGACAGGGTAACAACAAGTACTATCTTTTAAGGTCTTTTGGTATGACGCGGTCGGGGATCGAACCCCTGACATTCCACTCTCCGGGTGGACGCTCTACCACTAGACCACGGAGGCGGTCGGTAAGGGTAGGATGACACACTAAGGCAACTGTTTGTCTTCTGTAATCTAGCTATTACTCATGAAGATCCAGGTTAGGATTGATCTTCAGCAACCCATGTTTGTCAAAAGAGGCAACTAACAGATACGGTAGTCAGACTCAGTGACTCGTTGATGCATATCATGTTATTTTAATTGTGTAGGAAGATGCTCATGATGTCAATAACTGGGCTGTGTTGTCCAGACTCAATTATTAACAGAGGGCCGTCATATAGCTGGAAGATTGCTGAGTGTGGTGTTAAAAAATAAACAAATGTAATCCAGGAACAACATCACTGATATATGTGGTTGCTTTATTTTAGCAAACAATCAAGACAAGATGTTTACACTTGTGTGAAGATTTTAATCAACCTGTAAAGCAATGCTGTTTCTCTCCTTCAATACAAGGTCTGTGAAGCAGGAATGAGTGGGAATGGATAACAGGGGGACAACATACTGAAAATATAGCCATCCCTGTTCCAGGCGTAGGAACAGGACAGTTTGTTAACAACCACATACAGTCAGTATACAAGAAATATATATCAAAAGTGGAGAAATATAGGAAAATGTTTGTCACTTTTCAAACTGAAAATCCAACCTGCATATTAATATGTGAGTGAGTGAGTTGGGTTTAACGCTGCTTTTAACAGTAGTCCAGTTATATCACGGCGTGTCAGCTTAATGTGGGAGGAAAGCCCGAAGTGATGCAGGTCTAAGACGTTTACCTCTTCGATGAAACCCATGAGCACGGGTATGGTGCTGACAAACCTAGAAACATAATCAGGGCGAACCGGGATTCGAACCCACAATCATAGGTTTCTGGCGTGCCCAAGGGACGCAACTCTGCACAGCGAATCGCAGCGCCTTAGACGACTGGGCCACCCGTGCCCCCGCATATTAATATGTTATGCATGCATAGAGATATAGTTCACAATAATGTTTTTATTTGCTCCCCTGTTTCTGTTTCTAATTTAGTCTTATAATCTCCATTGTGTTATGAAAAATACACTGAACCCATTCACTACAATAGCTTCGTTTAGAGCCTGATTCAAATTACATGATGCTAAAAAACACCATCCAGTCAAATTACACTCATGTACTAAGTTTTTTTTGAAGTTGAGATGGTGACATCACTTCAGAGACTATGGTCTTGTGGCAAAACAGTCCAGGGTATTTATCACAACAGAAAGAGATATAATACACTGGGTAATTGGGCACTGTAAGCACGGTGAAAAGATCTACATCAAAACATTGTCAAATGCAATAAACATGAAGTTGTTATCCACAAAGTTGTACATTTTCTTACTCACCAACATCTAGAATGCCAATCAAACAATAAGAAGTTTGTCAGGTCTGGTCACAGACATTACTGATTCCCCTGTCAAAGTTGTTTGTCAGTGTTAATCTTACTGTTAGTGCCAGAAAAAAATATTGTTTGGTCTATTCATTCTTTCATGTTACTGTTTAAGTGTTTGCCCTCGTGTTGAACACATTGATGTCACCATCACTCTCTCCTCACTTGTTCCTCTTATAAAACACAGCCTTAGTAACCTTCAACACTTCAAAGTACCAGGAGTGGCTCTCACACTCATATGACATGATTTCAATGAGATTGGTTGTCTGGCTTTAAAACTTCACATCAGGAAAATCAAATCCAAAGTAAAACTACTGTTCACACGACACTGTGAGGTAGACGTGGAGTCAAACATGCACCCACCCCACTAGACTAACTATCTCCCATCACGGCACACCATAACTATCCAACAAGATTAGGCCCTGAGCAGAAACTGGAAAATAGTATTTGCAATACAGGAGATATATATATATATCCTTTGTAAGTACAAGCATATGTATATATACATAAAGTTTATAAAATTCAACTATCAGGTCATATTTAAACATAAATAAAAACTTGGGGAGTATATTTTATCCATTCACTAGGAGCACTTTCAGCTCATATGAGCCTCTTTAGCCACATACATTTAATCTGTTCACTGTTGTGCGCTTTTTGCGTAAATAACTAGATCAGTAAATGGCAATACGGCCAAAAGAAGTTTGTTTGAGCTAAAAGCATGGGCCAGTAAATCGATTCCAATTTCTTATTTGTACTTATTTAGTTATAAATATATATATGATGATGATGATGTTTCAACAGTAGTGAATGAGAGAGTTAAAACTGTGTGTTGTATCTGCATTCTTTCAGCCTCAAAGTTACAATGGTAACATTCAAAAAGACCATCAGAATCAACAACACAAAATGACATAATTATTTACCTAACATTCAGATCTGGAATCACAGGGGATTGATTACCTTGCTAAATAAAAGGTATAGAAACAGAAAAACAGCAACACGACACTAACAAAAACACAATGTCACAACACATGCTACACAGTAATAGAGATGTGACTGTTCCAGGACATAACTAAAACATCAGTTACTTTCCACACAACCCACATGGTCCTTACAATGGGCAGACTGTCATTTGTCCACATCATTACATCCTATCCAACAATCCATGTTAGAACCAAAGCAGGGCCCCAATGGCAAAAAGTGATCTCAGCACTAAAACTATTGTAAGAGTATGTCAAAGCATTGTAGTTACAATAGTGATAGTGTGCTGTGCAAAGTGGCCCAATTGATTACCTACTGTCCTACTTCTAAGTAATGGGGGGCACGGTTGGCCCAGTCGTCTAAGGCACCGCGATTCACTGTGCAGAGTTGCTTCCCTTGGGCACGTCAGAAACCTATGATTGTGGGTTCGAATCCCGGTTCGCCCCAATTATGTTTCTAGGTTTGTCAGCACCATACCGTGCTTGTGGGTTTCACCAAAGTGGTAAACGTCAGAGACCTGCATCACTTTGGACTTTCCTCCCACATTAAGCTGACACTTGGCGACATAACTGGAATACTGTTAAAAGCTGTGTTAAACCCAACTCACTCATTCACTCTAGGTAGTGTTTACCTTTACTTTGGCAGCATGCTGCCCCACCATCAAGACCTGCTTCTTTTGGAGCAGCAACTGTAGCACCGAAATTCACACCTCAGAGTGTCCAGTGTATGACAGATCCAGTCTGTTATAATAAATACCCTGGACTCATGTATCAATCACCAGACCTGTTTCCAGTCTGATTTTAATGACACAATGGTAAAAATAGACATCCAATCAAATAACAGCGTTCTTTAATGAATGAAACAAGTGATGACGTCACAAGTACTTGGCTCAACTGTTGCCTCACCTTGCCATTACATGTGTTGTAGAGTAAGAACTTCCCTCATCTGCCTAAGTACTCATCAAAGCATCTTTCATAGCTAAGATTTCTTTTGTAATGGGATCGTGTTCAAATTAAAATATTGAAAGCTTGCTCAGACCAGATTTTGAATGTAGATCTATACTGAAAAAATGTTTTGATTTCAAGATCATTAGCCAGATAAATTCTGCAGGTGACAAGAGAGATGGGGCTTGTGACGTCACCTCGGAAATGAAGCCATTGTGGAGAATGGATCCATGATATCTATTATAATAGATTGGAGATATGATACAATGGATAATCGAGATGTTCAGTTCAATATTTGTAAACAGTCTTATTCCACATGGCTAAAACTGTCAACAAATAACAAGATATTACATGATAATCAGCAGCGTGTAATGTTGTAAGTGTAAATGTTGACTAGTTCGGTGAGAAGATGTGGAATAATGGTCACCTACTGCTACAGTGTTGGGGCACGACACATCAAGCACAGACCTCACAACAGAGGGAACTGCAGCATCTACTCACACAATATTGTCATAGTCCTACCACCTTGCAACAGCCATTGCAAAGCTGGTGTAAATCTTACATTTGACTGAAGTGAAAGTTGCAGATTGCCAGTGAGTACAAAACATTGGTATACACTCCCTTTCAAAGTAAATGTCAGCCCTATAACATCTTGTGTTCAACATATTGCCTTATGCACCATAGTTGCAATCACTAGAAGTTTGTTTTGACTAGTTTCCCACAACTGTCTCTACAACCATGACCAGGGTGCAAACACTTTGATTCAGTCACAATAGAGGGGAGGTTCATTTTGAAGAGTAGTGTACTTTGCGTTTTATTACCTTCTTTTGTGTATGTAACAGAAAACAGAAGTAATTCACAACCACTTTCATTTAAGTATTTGTTCATAGAGATAGTGTTTGCTACTTGTTGAACGAACCAAACACAAAAGCAACTTTATGACAAGTAAATCTAGATGTAACAACGCTCTGAATGTACATGTACCAAATAAATGTAAATAGCAGTCTCAAAATATGGCCAGAGTACTTCATAAAGTTTAATCATGAAAACAATGAAAAAACAAGAATGAAAACATAAACCACAGTGTTAACAGCATATTGTTAAACACAACAATCCATTAACTTAACACTGCTGATGTTGCTAAAAAAGCCTTTACAAAAATGATGGTAAAAAAAGATGGTAAAGGGTCATTAAGCTGCAATAAAGGATTGTACACATGTAACCATGTTGAAGATTTAAAAAACAACAAACTTATATGGGACCTGAAAAATATAAGATAATAGATACATTTGGTCTAAACAAGGATTATCTGGGGCACAACAAATTCCAATGAGAACGAAATGATTGTGGTTTTCTGTTCAACAGTTATCCTGCATGATGCCCCGTGGGAACAGCACTCCTCTGGCCTCGTACACCCACCACCCACATGAACACGCCAGATAGACTAAGAGGCAGGTCAGTCCAGCATTCACTTAGCATACAACACTTCCATTAGTTCCAGTTCCCATTGTAATTGTGGAGCAACTGGATCAAACTCCTCTGACGACATTTAGTATGAACACCACAAAATATATTTACTTACACTAGGATGAGAGAAATTCAAATTGGTGTTTTCAGAACCATCATCCATTTAACATGAGTTATCATTGGTTGAAAATTATAACCATTTCAACAGAAATTCAACAAAAGTATGACTTTGTTACTGAGATTCTGATCAACTGTAAGGATTGTTCAGGAAACAATGGCAGACATTGGTCCATTGAATAGCTACAAACAAGGGATGGCAAGCTTCACTGATATGTTGGTTCAAGGCAAATTTACATGTAATCATATGATACATGATACATGATACACCCACCTATGTATTGATTCATGATTAAGTTCTGTATCGATCTTAAAAAGAAACAAAGTTTTGCAACGACCTGGCTACCATCACCTTACCACTTGTAAGGAAAGCTAAATCTAATTGCATAATACCATCAATCCAAGCCCAAATTTTACATTTATTGCAAGAAAGTTTGGTAGAAGGATTTCACACAAAAATGGCACAAATTCAGTATCATGATATATATCATCTTGACTCAAGTAAAGTAACAAGTCATGGAATCTGATATGTATCGTAATGCCCTACAGCAAGCAATATCCATCTACATGACATGACTGCAGGGATTACACAATGTGACTTCTGACATACAAGTCCTGTAATAGTGACAGTATTTGTCTACAAGTACACTGCTGCTCATACCGAGTTCAGGGGATGAAGTGACATTAAAATGGAAGCAAACATATTCCTTGCAGTAACATGAACAAAAATCCCCTTCCCCATGCAATGCCGGATCTCTCTGTTGTGTTGACACACTGTTGAAACATAGATGAATGCAGTTTAGTGTTGGCTCCATCATTTATATGACAAATGCCATTTCAATGAACTGAACCCTTTTGCAACAATTTTTCACCAATATTGGGAAAGTCATTTCCATGACTGCCTAAGAATACATTGCTTCAAATTTTGATCAAGGAAGTAGATGAAAAGTAAATCGATTTCAGATCTCTACCATGTCAACAGTTGAAACTGAGAGAAATGAAAACAGAAAATATCTTAGTCCATGTTAGACACATGGAGACATATATTCCCAGACCTCAATATATTCACTATCCATCGTTATTCTTTGATATATGTAATACTGAAAGCCCTGAGCATACATATAAGAACATCAGCTTAATAAAACTTGTATTTACATTAACATGATACAATACTCTACCCATCTTTCATCTGATACTTTCATACACAGCATTATATATACATATAATGTTGAGGCTAGACATGCTCAGTCTACAATATCCTCCAGATACGTCATCTCAACACAGATGCAGTGCCAAGATCAAATATCTTGCAAATGGTTTCTAGGAATTCAATTCCTTCTTAAATCCAAGGTGCCTATGTATCAACATGGTCATTGACCAAGTATTTTCTTTAGCACTGCGTTGACGACATCCATTGTCTCATCTTCCTGGATGACGATGTCATAGCTTTCCATGTAGGGTTTGAGATTTGTTTCCACCTGCAAACAAACAGATTATTTACGACGGAGTGAGTGAGTAGGGATAATCTGAAGTGTTGCAGGTCTATAGACACTAGGGCAACTGACCCTAAGGTAAATTCCTTCCTAATACGACTATGAATGAAACCCCCTGAACCCCCTTCTGTAGCATGTACTATTTAGTACCAGGTAACAAGTACTGAAAGGCTTCATAAATGTGGTAATCTTAGTATTGAGAAAGAAAATAATTTCTTTCATTTCAACCGCAAAAAAGACTATTCACACATTACCAAATTTTAGCAATCACCAGTTGGTAAACTGGTTGGTAATCTGTCTCTCCGTATACTACAGTAGTTATTGAGATATCAAATCAATACCATGGAATTGGGATTTGGAACTTGGTATTTCTATGTCATGTACACACCACAATGAACACTTCAAAATCAAACTTGTTGCCATGGAAACAGAAAAGAATAAATTCTAAAAATCTCTAAATAGCAACAGCAGTTGACAACCTGGTCTTTGTGGTGCACAGTTTTAAGAAAGAGCACTATTAGTTTTAGAGATAAGGTTCGCACACTAAGTTGCAAAAGGTACCAGTTAACAGCCTGGTCCCTGAGTTTGTAAAGTGTCATAAAAGGATACCTATTAGTTCTAAAGTTTCTAAGTCTCAAATTGTTACCATGGAAATTGAGAAAAATGAAAATGACAAAAATCCTCAAAAAAGCAAAAGGGACCACTTTAGGATCTGTTCGATATGTCTGCCAATTTTTGTGGAAAAATATTAAACGTTTTTTGAGTTACACTATGGAAACGAAATGATTACGGACGGACAGAAATTTCCAATCATCATTTAAGGAAACATTTTCTTTTTCCTACTATGGCTTCAGGAAACCATTTGCTTTTGCATATTTAGTTTAATTTCTTTAAATGACCGGTTTCTCAGTCTCTGAAACAAATAATATTGTCATTCATTCCATGAAAAAATATTAATAATGATGCCAATCTACATCCTTTCCTGAAAAGTTCAGCACACATGAAGCTTCCAAATACAAGCAAGTAATTACTCCAACACAACTAAAGTTCAGTGTGAAATATGAAAACTCAAAAGAAAGATGTCAAAGATTCTATGATCAATGTTATTTCAGCAAACATCCTGACCAGGAATCCGGAAATATTTGTTTGCCAATCGGACATTTGCATTTTGGTCATGCCCACCTCATGACTGAGGTGCTGGATGTTCATGCATGAATAAAAAGAATAAACTCAAGTGTCACTTTCATAACATATATATATAGAGAGTTCGCTCGCTATTGCACCCTTTAATATAGAGCTACCTCGGTTATAGCCTGCGGCAACACATGGCTCCCAAAATTTACTGACATTATTAATAAAGTCAAGTTTAACACTGACACCATGTTTTTCCCCCCATCTCAAAATACATTATCAGCTGATCACCATGAGCATTTAACACCATGCAATATAATCCCATTATAATGCTATCTGGTTATAAAAACGTGTTCACTGTATATCTGGACTTATGTTTGTAATATATTTTATTAATTATATTCAAAATTTCATTCAGTATTGTTTACATTAATTTTGGCGAAATCATGTGAGTGAGTGAGTTTGGTTTTACGCCGCTTTTAGCAATATTCAAGCAATATCAGGGCCGGGGCCACCAGAAATGGGCTTCACACATTGTACCCATGTCAGGATTCGAACCTGGGTCTTCGTCGTGACAAGCGAACACTTTAACCACTAGGCTACCCGACCGCCCCGTGAAATCATGTGTGAAGTGATCAGTAGATCCCACAACTCACCGTTACTTACAGCAGCCACGGTCAGATTACCGCCTTGAAACGAACATAAGTTGCCAGAGAATGGATACATAAATCACAAATGCTATACTTTGACTCGTTAAAAAGTCATATTTGTGGCAATGTGACTATTATATGTCAACATTACATTTTTGCAATCGAAATACATGTAGCGCAGGAAGTCCCTACGGTGTCAAATTGGTCCATACGTAAAAATATCCATATCAATCAGCTGTACCAGGGTAAGACTTACGGGTCTTATAATTTTAAATATATGTAGTAAAAGCTCTAACTAAAATGACACGATTTGGGAAAATATAATTTCTGATAAAAATGCATTTTTTAGAGTAAAAATATCATTTATACTTATCCTGACTCATACTTATTGCTTATCTCTCTCTCTTCCGAATAGGTAGTGGAAACGTCCTGTGCTGTTCCCAAAGAACAGAGAAAACAGCTCGCCCAAACGCACCCTCACTCTGCGCATGCGCACCGGAACCATGTGACCAAGCCCATTAACTCATCACTCTCTCTTATTTCCTACTTAATGGTCGGAACACATCAGTGGAAAGAGGGGAAGGCTGGGAGGGTACTCATTTGTATGAGTCAGGATAAGTATAAATGATATTTTTACTCTAAAAAATACATATTTTATCTTATCCTGACTCATACTTATTGCTTGAATCTCACAGTAGGTGGTGGGTTCCACCTGTATGTGTGATTAACGTCGATCTGTTCTATAAACCCCATAGGAACGTTGTTAATCTTCTGTGTAAATTCTTTATTTGGGGACCACCTTCCTTTTTTGTGAGCAGCAAAATGGAAGTAAATCATATAGATTTGTGGATTTATAAGGTTTCTAAGATTAAAATCTTGTTCACCTTAAATGATTAAAGTGTTAAGAGAAGAGCAATAATCTTAACACAATCATTTCTCACTCATGTGCTGAATTACATAGTAAAACAGGGGGCATGGACTCTCAGTAATTGGTTATGGAACAGTAACCTGACGTCAACAAGTCTATGTGATATTGGGTGAGTGTGATCTTCTAATGTCGTCTGGTAGGATTTGTGAGTAGTTGTGCCACAGCTTATGGTCCGAATTGGTGAATACCAGCTAAGTCTTCTGTAGCAAGGTCTCTGAGGTAGTGATTGGCGAAAACTGTATCTGATTTCCAGAAACAGCATTCCATAATAGTTGTTATAGAGCAGTTGTCGTGAAGTGCCAAAGTTGAGGCTAAGGCTCTTACTTCGTGAGGGTTGGAGGCTGAAGGGGGGTCCAATCCCACTGCTCTGTATGCTCTGAGAATAACAGCTCTCATCTAAAATGAGATAGTTGTTCTGGATACCTGTGTGTGTATTCCTTAATAAAGGAATAAATAGTCTCTTAAAACCTTGTCTTCTAGGTTTAGACTTTTGTAGGTATAATCTTAAGGCTCTGACTGGGCATAGTGATAAATCCTCTGTATCCTCTGCACCAAGGACGGAGGAAAGAGTCGGAACATGGAATTGTCTGTCTGGTTGGCCTGGTAACTGGTTCTTTGCAATAAAGTCCCATCTTAAGCCAAGGTGCGCTGATGAGTTGTTACCACTGTCAAATGTGATGCGATTGAAGTCTATCGCGTGGATTTCAGACATTCTGGCTGCCGTAGCTAATGCCAGAATAAATAGGGTTTTCTGTGTCAGGTGTTCAAAGTCGGCCCGTTGGAGCGGTTCGTATGCATCTCTGGTTAGGTGTTGTAGCACTATATTTAGGTCCCATGCTGGGGCTCTAAATCTTTTCTGTTGGTCCTCAAGTCTGAAGGATCTGAGTAGGGCTATCAGCTCGGGAACTTTAGTAAGTTTTATCCCCTTAGCCAGTGTCAGTACAGAACTGATAGCGGCCAAATAAGAGCCCAGTGTCGAACCTTTAAGATTCCTTGTACTTCGTAAGTGACATAGGTAATCTGCTACTTGTGGTATAGTAGCTTTGGCTGCAGAAAAACCCTTGGATGTTGCAAACTGGTCAAAACTTTTCAATTTATCGTCATCGAGATTCCTTGTTGATCTACGAAGTGCTAAGGAAACTGCCTTAGCTGCTCTCATGGAATATCCTCTTTTAACAAGACAGCTCTTGATATGCTCCATACGTGAAGTTCGTACTGATCTGGTCTTGGATGGACCTGATTGGAGTGAGGATGTAGCAGTAGATTTGGCCAGTTCGGAAGTTTTAATATTGGATTTCCTGCTAGTTATACGAGATCTGGAAACCAAGTTCTCGCCGGCCAGTAAGGCGCTACCAAAAGCAGTTGTAGGCTGCTTGTGTGTAGGATCTTTTGTAATATCTGTGGTATCACGGCTGGTGGAGGAAACGCATACGCGTTTAGTCCCTCCCATGATATTGACAGAGCATCGACTGACCAAGCTGGTGGGTCTGGCACTGGCGATACAAATGTTGTTATCTGATTGTTGAATCTGGTTGCGAATAGGTCTATCAGTGGGCAACCTTTTTCTTTAATAGCCAGTTGGAATGCTTCTGGGTGTAGCTTCCATTCTGTCGGTGATGGTTTGGCTGGGCTGGTGAAGGCGTCTGCTAAGACATTTGCCACTGCTGGTATATGTCTTGTCTTTATTGTTAAGTTCAGATTCTCTACTAGCTCGTAAAGTTGAAATGTCAACTTCAGGAGGGTCAAGGTTTATATTGTATGCCACAGTTAAGTTGTTTGTTCTGATCATCAGACGTTTTTCTTAACTGTGGGGTCCAGTGAAATAATGCACGGATTACTGCCTCACATTCCAGATAATTGATGTGGTAGAGCTTACCTGCTTCTAACCATAGGCCTGCTGTTACTTCTCTGTTGAAGTGAGCTCCCCAACTTTGAAGTGAGGCGTCCACGAATAGGTGGTTGTTGTAATCCGGCTCGTTTAAACAAGTTCCTGCGCAAACATTCAAATTCACTGTCCACCATAAGAGGTGTTTCCTCAATGTTTGTGGTAGTTGCAGTTTTAAATCCTGGTACTCTAGGTATGGATTTAGAAATCTCTGAATAGGGCGTAAGTGTAGTCTGCCTCGGACCGTCCACGCTGACATGAGTCAGCCTAGTATCACTTGCCATTCGTTGACTGAGATTTTCTTGTAAATTGCTGTTGGCAAACAAGTCTTGATTTTTATCCACCGATCTTCTTAACCAACCCAGTTGTGTTAATAATTTCAGGGTGAAATTTAGTTGTAGCTCTGTTGATTGATGGGCTTATATCCCATCGTCTAGGTAAAAAGCACAACGAATTCCCTTGTTGTGAAAAAATGTCACAATTGGTTTGGTCACTCGTGTAATTAGCCACGGGGCCGTAGAAATTCAAAAGGGCAGGACCGCTCACTGGTAATGTTGTCCTTCAAAGAGGAAACGTAAATATTTCCTGAAAGTCTGTTTTATGGGAATGTGTAGGTAAGCATCCTGTAGATCGATGCTTCCGAGATAGTCGTGCTGTCTTATCATTTGTTGAATCATTCTGAAATCCTCCGGTTTTGGGAGGTATTTCTTGTTGAATTTTCTCATGTTCCGTTTGAATTCTTTTTGAGAACCAAAAAATCGGCGAATAGAAACCCGGCGTATAGTAATTCTGGATGAATTATCTCGACTGCGCCCTTGTTGATACGTGAATTGATTGCTTCGTTAACTTCGGCAACAATTCTTTCCGATAAGGTATTTCCGGTGGCTTGCGAGATAACGGGGATTTCTTGAGTAAAGTCGGCTCGTAGCCTTTCTTAGAAAGTTGGAAACAAATTCGTCTCCTAGAATGTCCCAATTCATCCAATATCTTGCCAATCTTCCACCTACTGGGGAATGCTGTACATGAACGGCTGTTGGGGGGAGTTCCCTGTCGTTCAAAAGCCCATATTCGCTGGTAATATTGCGAGATCATCTCGATCTGCGGCCGCGGTCGGCATCACGTGACGTGTCATGTGACTTGCGAAAAGCAGATGATTTCCCGCCTCTGTACTTGTACGAGCTTTTCTCTTTGATTTTGCGTATGTTACCATTAAAAATGGTTGGGGCCTCCCAAGGTTGTCTTAATAATTCTTTGATATAGGTATACCAATTAGAATTATTTATAAGACCTTGTCGCCGTAGTAGTGTTAAACCTGCCGACACTGAACTCATACGATCAGAAATAATTTCTTCATTTTACTTTTGATTGACGAGAGCTGAAAGTAGCATTCTTTCGTGGTCGTTCTGAGGCTCTTTTAATTCATAGAACATAGCTTCGTTCATAGCGCGTGTTGTCCAAAGAATGCATGTCTTGTAGTCGTATCAAGTTGTGCAATTTTCTTATCCTCACTGCGATAAGATTTTTTACTTTTGGAGTCTGACATGAGTGAGTAATCTTCATCAATCTCCGGTGAGCGAAGAAATTGCGACATGGCGTGCATGGGGAATTTCTTAGAATTAAAGCTCGGTGTTTGAAGTCCTTGTGATTTCGTGGCTTTCGCAAAAGAAACATTAAGATTCTCTGCAATGTTGGAGATTGGTTTTATCGGTGGGATGGTTAGTGTGTCTATATCGTCCCCTTTGATACAGTATGTATCAGTGGGAGAAGAATTTCTTGACGGTGATGATATCGGCAGTCTATCTGTAATCCACGCCATTAATTCATGATCCTCATAAATTTAAGGGTAATTTTCCCCCGATGTGTCATCATATTGAGGGGGCTCGAACATATCCTCCTCTCGCAGAAGATAGGAGGCGTTAGGATTCGGAGCCGTAAATGAAGGCTGTGACATCTGCGAGCTATTGTGTGAAGAGGTAGTAGACTGCGTGCCAGGTTGTTTACACATTTGTTGTTGCATAGCCATTACGACTTGTTGTGTGATATTTGCTATCACATCTGTATTAATAGCAGGCGTTAGCAAAGTATCTTGTGTAAAAAAAGGTAGGCTGCGTGAAGGTAACTGGCAGTGTAAACATTGAAGGCTGCACGAAGGCGGGAACCTGCGTGAACGCTGGCGTCTGTGTATACTCTTGTTGATTAATAGCCTGCGCGAAGGTAGAGGATTGCGTAATTGTTGTGTTGGGCTGCGCGAAGGCCGGTATCTGCGCGAAAGTCTGAGGCTGATTGAGGTATATATCGGTTGTATTTGTAGCCGAATTGGATGACACTGCAGGCTGCGGGAACCTCTGGGGTTGTGCGGACGTAATTGTCTGCGCGCAGGCTTTCTTCTGGTTAGAAGAAACAGCTGATTTTCTTGAAACCCCCTTCATGACTGCGGATGAAGTCTGTGGTTTTGTAGAGGTAATAACCTCTGCAAAAACATGCTCTCCCCTAGGGGAAGACGGCTTCAAAGTAGATGATGCAGCACTCTTTTTCTAGTTGTTGTAGATTGATAGCCTTACTGAAGCGTTCAGTAGGTTTATTCTTAGACCCTCTAGACTTCTTACTGGTAGACGATATTCAGCGGGATAATTTCTCTCAAATTCCTCTGACGAAGGGCAGGGCGTATTCTCACCTCTTCTTACTTTTAGCCGTCTCCGTGGATGATAACGAGCGTGATGACTCACGTCGTTTCCGATCCCTCTTTTTCCTCAGCACTGCAAAAAGATAATTACTAAATTCTTCCTCCCCAAAGGGGCGCAGAATTTGCATCTATTCTCTGCAGTGCAGTTCTGTACTGTGCAGCTGGTACAGGTTGGATGAGGGTCCGAATCTGAAAAACGTAATTTACATCGGTTACATGTTTTCATGATCTCCGATAGGGGCTGCATTTGAGTCCAAATTACGAAAAATTCTAATGCCAAATATATAAAATAATCGTTAGATATGATGTATAGAATATCACAGAAGATAATCCTAGCAAAAGATTTTGTTAAAATGGGTGAATTTTTATGGAAAGTTTGGATTATGATGCAAAGAAAAAATAAATAAAAAATTTCCAGCTGCCAAGATGGCGCGAAAAAGAGAGAGTGATGAGTTAATGGGCTTGGTCACTTGGTTCCGGTGCGCATGCGCAGAGTTAGGGTGCGTTTGGGTGAGCTGTTTTCTCTGTTCTTTGGGAACAGCACAGGACATTTCCACTACCTATTCGGAAGAGAGAGAGTAAGCAATAAGTATGAGTCAGGATAAGATAAAATTAATAATTTCTGATACAGTTTCTTGACTTTCCTCCGACCAGTGCATCAAAATTCTTTGAAGTTGTATCATTGGGTACTTTATAACTCAATCACCAGTAGATTGGGAGCAAACGTGTGCACAGCTGATTGCTATTTCCGGCTTAGTTTACGAGAAAATACATACGATAATCTTAATCTCTCCATATAAAATAATGCCTTGGAGTGCAGGAAATACAAATAAAATTGTAAATCATCATGTCTAGTGATGTTTTATATCAAATTTAATATTTTTATTGACAAAGTTTGTTACACCTGTTCGTTCACCACAATTCGCTGAAGGGATAGATCTACGATTTGTTTTAAAGTGCACAACACTCAATAGATACATAGTTCTAATATAAACAATTTCAACCTATCAGGATGTAGGTCAGTAATTCTAAAATGTCCGGTTTGCACTATTTCAAATCGGATATTTTGCAGTCACAATCCGACAAGTCCGGCGCACCGACTGATTTCCAGATGCCTGGTCCTGACAATGGTTGAAACTCACATGGTGGTTGAGGAATCCGATCTTGAGCATGTGGGTGACCTCAGCACCCTCGGCCATCCTCAGGTCGCCCAGGGAGTCGCCCAGCAGGATGAGGTTCTCGTGGTGCTTCAGTCGCTCGAAGTAGTCTGACTTGTGGACAGCGTTCTCGTTCTTGTTATAGGTGTGAATCATCTCACCTTTGAAGCCAATTAGTTTACCCTGAGGAAGAGAAGTACAGAATTTTTACTGTAGTTATGTAAGGGACAGGGAATAATCTCACTTAGAAACATCCTTTTACTGTAGCCCTGTAGAGTGAGTGAGTGAGTTTGAGTTCGGGGTAATGCTACTTGATCACGTTTGAAGCAAGTGAAACAGGTCATACTCGTAAAGGCTTACCACTTTGAGCATGAGGGTAAGGATGAGGCTGAGGATGGCACTGACAAATCAAGGACAAATATTATGGTAAATTTGGGATTCAAACCCACGACAGCAGATCCTGACATGATAAGGGAGGCTACTCTTCAAAGGCTTTTGGGGGTTACAACTGTCCTTGAGTTTACTAGAATAATAATATTGTAGGCATGCTATCTGTGCTTAATTCAGCTGACTAAATTCTACAAAAAGTGTGTCTTGCATTTAGAATTCTGGATAATTTTACTTTCCCTCTAATCAATTTGACTTATAACCATGATAACAGGTGAAAGATCTTTCTTATCATCAGTCCAGTAGTTTGTCCAATACATGGTCATGAAATCATGGAGCAAAAGAGAAAATGGTGAGCAAGTCTGAAAACACATAGAAATTTAACCTTGACATTCAACATGTTCAACAGTCACAAGGATGAAGACAGGGAATCTGAGTCAAGTATCTTTCACTTCATCATCTGTGTTGAAGCAACATTACTGTCAAGGTCCTGGATCCTGCTTACCTCACTATCAAAATCCATAAAATTGGAGACAATCTTCATGTTGTCGAGCATGCGAGCCTGTTGCGTGATGACCTCCTCGATGATGTCGCCTATCCCGGCAGAGAATATCAGTAAGGGGATGCGGTGCTGGTGCAGTTCATCGAAGAACCACAGGCAGTCATCTCTGTTGCAACAGGGAGATACTCTTATCATCACCAAGATCAGTCACACAGACTTTTACAAAATTTCATATATACTTTATCAATAAATCAATAATTATCTTGGAAAACTGGAATACACACACCTGCTAGTAAATAACTAGTCCAAAACAAGCATGAAATACTCATATCCCCCGCCAATATGACATGTCCGGTTGTATGCAATGCATCAGCTCCTGTGAACTATGTTCACTGGACCTTTTAGTAATGGCCTAATTGAAGCACTTAAAAAGTTATTACTGGTGTTGTTTTGCCATCTGCAGTTAATGATAGAATACGTAACTGTATTTGTAATGAGTAAGGATGAGACATATGGACGAACAACTTCTTTATCACAATTAGGAGCGACATTTCGGTGTAGGTTCTAACACCGTTATCAAGCAAGTGAAGTACAGAATATGGTTGACAAGAATATATACATGATAGGATGCAATGCAGCGTTTATACAGTTGAGTAGGTTTAAGATGCATTTACAGTTGTATTTGTAATTAGATGTGTTATAACTTAAACAATAATCAGAGAATTAAGGGAGTTCTTGCTTTACTTAGAGATCATTGAGAGCAGGGGTCACCATGATGTGTACTGAGAAGTACAGCACCAATCATCTGATGACCTGAGTAGTAGACTGGAGCCTGGAATGCTACAGCACTGGCATGATCAGTAAACAACAAGTCCAGTGTAGCTCCTAGACAGTGAGTTGAAGAGTGAATGAGTTGAGTCATTTTCCGCACATGAAAGAAATCTTCAAGTTTGAGTTTTTCACTCAGACCCAGTAAATAGGACATGTTCACATTCACGCTGCTTGGAGAGATCCTGAAGTTTCTGCATGAAATGTGACAACTGTGTCCATGACACTTTTGGAGGAACATACACACAAGCAATGCAGAACTTGCCAACAAGAAAGGAAATATATTCAATACTGCGAGATGACACTACATCACATAGCTGGACACTGTTCTTGAAACTTGTTGAAACATACACAGCAATACCATGTGTAGTGTCTCCTGGATAGACTTTATATCCTGGCAGGTCTCTTTCACTTTAATCATTGATGTGTGTTTCTGTGAAACACAAAACATCTAGCACACCAACAAAGTTGTCCTTCTTCACATCTTCGAAATAAGCACTGAGGGATCGAACATTCAAGTGAGCCACCTTGAGTCCATCGCCATGACTGTTCTCTACAGGGTGTGTCCAGGTGAACAGTCTTTCATTCCGCAATCTAGTCATCTCATCCAATGCTTTTTTGTTTACTACAATTTTGTATTCATCAAAACCTACAAGCTTTAGGCCTTTCCTTGATTTGACCCTACTAAGCATCGTATACACTTGACCAGGCTGGGCTTTAAATTTACTTCCTTGTGCAATTGTCATGTTCCCAATCATCTGCTCACAGGTGCTACCTTGAGACTTATGGATTGTGAGGGCCAACGCTAAAGTTCCTGGATACTGTTTTCTTTCAACCATGACAGATTTAGCATTGTCTGACACAGAGAACAAGGCTGTTACAGCAGTAATTGGTACTGCATGTTTCAAATTGACAGGACTCAGGGATGTTAGCAGGTTTTCCCCCCCAAAAAGAGGTAAAGTCCAGGGGGGTCTGGGGGCATGCCCCCCCCAGAAATTTTCTAACATTTAATTGCATTTTAAGCAATTTCGTGCTGTTTGGACAACATTCACACCAAGAAATGTAATAAGTCAATGGCAAAAGTCAATAAGTCAAATAAACTAGATGGCAGATGCAGTAAAATTTTGAAGTTAAATCAGTACTTTTAAAAAATCGGGCATAGCTTCCGCGCACCTGGACTTCGCTTTCTTGCATCACGGCAATGAGAGGAAATAGGCTGGTTCGGGTGTCCCCGTTCATGTTACAGGTACCAACTGTGAGGAAGTAGGCTGGTTCAGGTGCCACTTGAAAATTGTGTTTTCACAATAATTCACCATATATCTTGTCAAAGCCCCTTTGTCAAGTGGTATACACTTACCACAATTTTCAGTCTAGGTCAAGCTCGTTGCCATGAAAAATTGAAAAATAATTTTTTTTTAAATCCCAAACTATCAAAAGGCACCATTTCACCACTAGACCTATCTATTTGCCAAGTTTGGTGAAGAAATATTGTACGATTTTCAAGATCTGCTCCGGAAATGAGGATTACCACCATTTTTAGTCTAAGTGAAAGTCGTTGTCTCGGAAACTCGAAAAATAATTTTTTCAAAAATCCCAAACTATCAAAAGGCACCAGTTCACCATTAGACCTATCTATTTGCCAAGTTTGGTAAAGAAATATTGTACGGTTTTCAAGTTCTGCTCCGGAAACGAAGACTACCGCCATTTTCAGTCTAAGTCAAAGTTGTTGTCTCAGAAACTCGAAAAATAATTTTTTCAAAAATCCCAAACTATCAAAAGGCACCAGTTCACCACTAGACCTATCTATGTGCCAAGTTTGGTTAAGATATTTCCCACGTTTTTTGTGTTTTTGTGAAACGAAATGTGACGGACGGCACCCATTCCTATATCCCCCTTCCACTTCGTGGCGGGGGATAATAAGCTGTGGGCTAGTTAAATATGACCAATGCAACTCTGGGCTTCCACAGGGCCCCCTCAATATAAGAAAGTTTAATATTACCAATGATGTGCACCCCGGTCTAAGGGATGTAACTCTGCTCTGCTATATGCAGCTGGGCTTCCACCAGGGCCCCCTCAATGTAAGATAGTTTAATGTGACCAATGACGTGCACCCCGGTCTAAGGGATGTAACTCTGCTCCGCTATATGCAATTGGGCTTCCACCAGGGCCCCCTCAATGTAAGATAGTGTTAATGTGTATCAACATATACATTGGTAAAGAGTTAAAAACTATATATGTAACTCAAGGAATTTGTGTGTATCTTGAATAATTATTGTACATTTGTATCGTGCCATACAAAACAGAGGACAGACAAGAAATCAGACAAGACAAAAACAATGGACACCACGGTGATAAATAAGATATAAATATAACACATGTATAATGCATCATCAACATAATTTCTATGAACCATGTAGTTTTAATCTGGGTCAGTGACATCAATGATTCACAAGTTGTACCTAGACAGGAATCTCTAGGCAACCCCAGACACATCAAGTCTCATATATCTGTGTGCAGAGTTCACACAACATTTAGACAGTGAGCATTACAACTCATAATCTTTACAAGAGTGTTTCATTCCAACATCATTTATGTTTGTTTGCAGTTTAAAATTAACAGGTTATCTTTTTACTGGAATGTAAATATGTTATTTTCTTAAGTAATCTGGTAAAATCAGGGGAGGCAATTCAGCCACTTCCTGTGACATTGATATGATCATTAAAATATAAAGGTCTATCTACCTCACCACAAAACCCACAACCCACAACACCATCAGATTCACCCAACTGAAAACCAGTAGTTGTCTATTAAAAGACAAGAGAGCAAAGAAAGTAAAATACAAAGAAACAAATAATATTATATTCAGTCCATTGGTATCATACTTTCAGAGAGGCAGCAGAGATAAATCAAGATAACTTGTACATTGTCATGACTAGATATGTAAACAATTATAAACTCTACCAGAAGAGACTAAACACCATAACATGCTATCTTCATGCATTACTTTCTAACAAATATACTGATCATATTTGTTGAAAGGCTAACTAATACTATACTTCAGGTCATAGACATCAAAGGGCTCCCACAGAACAAAAAGATCCTCACATCATCATGATCATGCTTTATAACATATCATTACCCAGGAAAATAAACCTAAATATAGCCCAGGAACATTTTACTGCTCAGCAAAAGACATTGCATTTGACCCCCGAGACAAGCAAACATGTACGGCCAAAATTGACCTACACATAAACACATAAACTGCCGAGCCATTAGATATTTCCAAGATTAAACAATCAATTAATGCAACAAAGATGCCAAGCTACCAGTGTGATAAAAAGTGATAAAAGAGTGATAAAAAGAATTGTTCCACTGAGAACATATTCCCAAGGTAAGGGAGTTAACTGACCATGCTGACTATGAAAGTCCAGTTTCCACCTTGCCGGATTAGGCTGGAATACCCATACTTACTTTGGCATAATGAGTCCAATCAAAATTGCTTAACGAACTCGACATGCCGTTTGTAAACAACATCGATTTCAATGTGTAGATTTAGGTCGCCTGCAGGATTTGCGAAGCATGTGTACCGTCAACTGGGTGTCAACAGATATTTTCCAAATCTTTTCAAGTTTTTAATCAAGATGCCCAAGTGATTTGATGCACTTTGCGAGACAACATAGATCTTTATTATTGATCAGACCGTCTTGACTGGGCACCACCATTTTGTTTGAAGCAAATGCAAGTGACATGTGAGGTGGAACCTAATTCAACAGGAGGGACATAGAAGGGAGTTGTAATATAGCCACTGGTATTGCTACGATCGAGCCACAAAATTCCAGCCTCGTATGGCAAGGAAGGAAATGGAACTGTCAGTTAATGCCCTTGCCTCTGGAAGATGACAAACTCGGAATGTTTAATAAAATTAAACCCATGTATTTTCAACCTGAACCAAATCAGAACAGAAGCCAACCCAAAAACATCATTGACTATCCAGTGTCTTATATCACCAGGTTACTATAATAATGTTAACATAATAGGATATGACGTAATAATTATCATAGTTCCCTTCACCTGTTCTCTACCATGGCTTCATTTCAGAAGAGACATCGCCATTTCTACTCTCCCTTAGTAACCTCCCCACTTCTCTCACATGAGTATAATTTGCTTTTACAGCTATTTACAACACCATTTTATTCAAATTGGACTCAAAATGAAGCTTTGGTAGTGAATGGGCCCCAGGACCTGTTTCACAAAGTGATCTTAGCGCCACAATTGTCAAAGGTCTATGTTAAGGTATGGTTATTACAATCAACTTAGCACTAAAATCACTTTGTCAAACAGGGCCCAGGTCAGTATCCCAAATTAAGTGTGATCTGGGGCCCTTTTTTTTTTTCCTACAGTATCAAAATCAAAGGATTCTAAAAATCTTTAAAACTTTTAAGCTAAGGGATAACAAGGTTAAGACAAGCTTATGCTTAATTTGACACTGCATGGTGACTAACAACAGAAAGGATATATAACAGTACACTGGATAATCAAGGATGCTTTGAAATGATGTACAAAAGAATCTCCTCCCATCACCATTTCCTGACCTGTGAGAGCCCTAACATGTCTTCCCTCTCCCACAACAAGGACCTCACCTTAACAAAAGCTTAGCCTTAGCTACCGATACACTGATGTCCTGAGACCTGATGCCAGAGCCAACGTACATCGCTACACCAGCTTTATACCTGAAGAAAACAGTAGAGAGTGTGAGGGGGGGTTGTCCTGGGGAAACATTACCTGAGCCGTGAGGAGGACTCCTTGACCATCTGGACAATGCCATCCTTAGATATTTGACACTTCATCATTAGCTCGTGAGCTGATGTCCACCTATGGTAGAAAGAGGGAAAGTTGGATATGAGTTGACAACTTGACATCACATATAGAACATGCTTCAACATGTTAAGAACATTGCAGTGCCTACACTATGTACACTCAAAGCTATAACCTGAGCATGCTACGGCTAAAATGATTAAACGGTGCACTTCTTTTAAATTTCAACAAGTATTTGTCACAAAGTGACGAAATGTCCCCCGCCTGTATATACACCATAGTTCCAAATATGAAAACAATCCAGCGATTAGTTCTTGAGATATCGCGGCAACACCGTTTTCTAACTCCAAAAGCAGATTTGCCTGCTGTGACCTTGAAAATAGGGTCAAGGTCACCAAAACCGACTGGTGTCTGCGGTCTGTATATACACCATAGTTCCAAATATGAAGACAATCCAGTGTTTAGTTCTTGAGATATCGCGGCAACACCGTTTTCCAACTCCAAAAGCAGATTTGCCTGCTGTGACCTTGAAAATGGGATCAAGGTCACCAAAACCGACTGGTGTCTGCGGAGTCTGTATATACACCATAGCTCCAAATATGAAGACAATCCAGAGTTTAGTTCTTGAGATATCGCGGCAACACCGTTTTCCAACTCCAAAAGCAGATTTGCCTGCTGTGACCTTGAGAATGGGGTCAAGGTCACCAAAACCGACTGGTGTCTGCGGAGTCTGTATATACACCATAGTTCCAAATATGAAGACAATCCAGAGATTAGTTCTTGAGATATCGCGGCAACAAACAGGTGGGACGTACGGACGTACGGACGGACGTACGGATGTACAGACGTACGGACGGTCGTGAATACTATATCCCCCGCTTCGCGCTTTCGCGCAGGCGGGCAGGTGACCCATATTGAATGCCCATCTTCAAAGATACCTGCTTGCATTTAGGCAGTATAAATATTGAAAAATTGTGAAAATAAGAGACAAATCACATCTTGATTCAGTTGAAATAATGCAAACAATAATTTGAGACAGTACAAGGAGTTGTAATAAAGCTGAATACATAAGTAGTCTTAAAATTATCTTCCAGACAGTTGGAGGAAAATTTCATGCAGCCTGACAGAAAAGTTCCCAGCCACAGGCAGGTAGGCAGGCTGCTATTTTGGACACTGATTATCATATTGGCTTTTTCTTATCAAGTCTACCAGTATTGTGTGTATCAGTGTTGTCCTCATAAACCAAGTGATGATATACATGATATGAAAACTGTACATGCCATACACAAGATATATGCATGGTATATGCATGCTCTATGTACATGCTATACACATGATATATGCATCTGATGTACATATATATACATTATATACATGATATACACAAGATATATACATGATATATACATATGTATATGATGTATATGATATACATGACACATACACACTATACACGTGATATGTATATGCATCATATGTAATCATGATATGATATGATATACACTTTTATTTTCCTTGTTATCATGGTTATGGATATATCAAACATTTTCACTTACTTTAACCATTGTTAACTCCTATGTAGTGTAGTGTGACACACATTGTGTCTGGAACAAAGCTCCGTGGTAGGATACACAGTGTGACTTCACTGTACCGTGTTGGCCATATCATCATAATCGCCAGCATGATTACAATGAACAGTAATCTAGCTTCGGGAACTAGTCTTCCATCATAGAGCCTCTCTCTATCATTGTGTATATAAATAATGATATAAAAATAAATGCACAATTGCCATATACATACTGAAATAATGTTGTATTCAGCAAACAAACTACCGGTATAATAAGAAATGTTATAATAAGAAATTAAATTTCTATCAACAGCGATAGAAACTAACAGATTTAGTCCACTAGTCCTTATGATAATAACATACAGCAAAACCCATAAAAATGGCAAATTTCTACTATTCCTTATGATACCTTAAACTACTGGGCAGTTTGGCAAGGACTACAGGACTAGAGCCAATTTCTGTCACTGTATCAGTATTTCATGGTATATATATACATATGTCTTACCATAGACCCTAAACTAAGACGTAATGAAATGTCCAGCATTATAGAGGAAAGATGGCAGCCGAGAGAAATTGTTGGCATTACTTATACAAACTCAGGCTTCTCAAGTCTGATAAAACGTTAAATTAGTTAAAAAATTCTCACATAAGATATGTAAATGATAGATTCACTATATATGGCACTGGTAGTCACATGTCACTTGAGTGCATGATCGAGTTTGGTTTAATGCTGCTGTGAACCGTATTCAAGCCAATTCACAGTGTGGGGTATCTACCACTTTGGTGAGACCAATTAGCATGGGTATGGTGCTGACAAACCCAGAAACATAATAAGGGTGAATCTGATTTGAACCCATGATCATGGGTTTGTGGCACCACAAGGTGGCGCAACGCTGCACATATTTCGGCACCTAAGATGAACGGCTCCGTTGGAGAATCTTGTTGACAGTGTGGGGATGAACTTTGTCCATTTACATCAACAATGTGATCATGGAAAGTATTGTACCAGGGTACATATCCTTCATAGTTAGGCTCAGCCAACCTTCCTATAACAAGCACCAATAGTCTTATTGGTGAAACTGTTACCATGGTTACCCTGATCGATAACAAGCAACACCTGCAAGCAGGCCAGGAAAAAATACAATGTAGATGGGATAAAGCTGATGTTCATAGTTTTGTCCATTATTTAAATAATCCATGATGTATATAATATTCACAGCAGTGAGAAAGCTGAATCTATCAGTGTAATGAATCCCTTCTCTCTGCTGAATTACAGAAAACCAATAGTGAGGTCAGCATGGTCAGATACATCTTCCCGAGGCGAGAGAGTTAACTGATTTTAAAAGTCAAGTTTCCACCCTTGCCGAACTAGGCTGGAATTCCTGGGCTCGATCGTAGCGCCACCAGTGGCTATTACCAGTTATGTCCTTTCTATGCCTCTCCTATTGACCAATCAGATTCAACCTCTCGTATCACTTGCATTTGCTTCAAACAAAACGGTGGCACCCAGTCAAGACGATCTGATCGATAATCAAGATTTATATTGTGATAAAACGAGTCTTACATCGCGGAGTGCATCAAATCACGTGAGCACCTTGATTAAAAACATGAAGAGATATAGAAAATATCTGTTGACAACGAGTTAGCGGTGCACATTCTTTGCAAATCCTGCAGTGGACCGAAATCTGCATGACACTTTACGAACTGAATTTCGATTTCGGTGCGCGATTTTGATTGGACTATGCATAGACTCGTTAGTCCAGCCAAAATGTAACTCCATAATACCAGCCTAGTTCGGCAAGGGTGGAAACTGGACTTTTAAAGTCAGTTAACACACTTGCCTCGGGAAGATGGGTCAGATATCAACACTCTGCAGAATGTCAATTGAAAATGTTGTCATCAAACACAACTCTTGTTCTATCGGTCATGTAACTCACACAGGCAGTGCAGTCATGACATCTTAAGGCCATACATTTTTTATTGCTTTGTTTCATGGGCCCGCAAACTACTGGAAAGCAGCAATCCCAAGAAAAATATAAAACATAACAAAAGTGTTATCACTATCCCCCATCATGGGGCATATTAGAATTCTGTTTGTTCATATAGTAGTGAACATAAACTATACAAAAAGAGTCCTATAAAGCCTTAACATCATCAGATCAAATGTGAAATTAATATACACAACAGGCCCTTACTCTGGAAAAAAAACTCAGTCTTGATAAGTATCTCTTAGATAAGCTAGCTTCAATAGTTTCTGAGAAAATTTGTCTCCATTGCACACACTATGCACAAAGTAAAATAAGATTGATCAAGGGCCATAACTCTGAAAACTTAACATAACTTGAATAGCTATTGAAAAAATTTGTCTTCATTGAGAAATGGACAGATGGACGCACAAACTCCGTTCTTATATCCCCCATCCCACTTTGTGGCGGGGTATAACAATAATCATTTTGGTTATGTCTCCCGCTAGTAATATAGACCCTATTATATGATAAAAGATTTTACATATAAATTCCATGTCTACATCAATATCAATGATTCAAGAAGCCAGCTGCAGCTCTAACTCCACGGCAGAATAAATAAAGAAATAAATTGACGTGGCTATTTATTTTTATTTTCCTATTGACCAACCTTGAGAGAAAAAGCTGGAATACATCCGTGAAACATAAAATTTAAAAAATGTGGCCTAAACCTATATTCACACAAACAGTGCGATCTTGACATCTTAAACCACTATTTTTACTATGGACATTCTGCTCACAGTTCATTGTCATTTTATTATCAAATGCAGTCACAAATAGCATGTTTTTTGTAGTAATTTCCGGACATGTTCACATGCATTTATCAATTCATAAAAACTGAATGTGACAAAAATCACATTACAATTGCGAACCAAATCAATTGTCTTAGGTTTTTGTTTGATGTTTAACGCCGCACGCAGCAATATTCCCGCTATATGACCATGATGATGGTGGTCTGTAAATAATAGAGTCTGGACCAGATAATCCAGTGATTAATATTACTAGCATCGATCCACCCAATTGGGATACGATGACGTGCATCAGCCAAGTCAGTGAGCCTGACCACCCGATCCTGTTAGTCGCCTCTTACGACAAGCTCAGTCGCCATTTACGGCAAGCATGGGTTGCTAAAGACATATTCTGCCCCGGATCTACACAGGTCCAATTGACTTAGTAGTAAAATGTAGTACAAATACATCATTTACATAATGGTTCTTCCTTTTCTCTTACTAACATAATACTGATAGCAGGAATATTTGATATTTTATGCACCCTGACCGTTGAAATTTATAGTCATATGATGACGGTAGGATGTCTTTAAACAATGTTAAACTGTATTACAAAAGGCTGTAGAAAAACCCTCAACTATTTAATATTATTAACCTGACAAAAAATCCCATTCATTTTGGCACACAGGTGATTTTCTCCCCTATATTTTCCAGGGTAAACCCTGGTAGTGTCAGTACTTGGATGAAACAACAGCTGCCTCACATACATTGTACTCTCAGTTATAGTAATGGGACATATATTACCATCATTATGAATAACCACAAATGAAATTATTTATCTTTTATTACACAGTCTAGACATGATAAGGTGCAAACCATGCTAACCAACAATTGTAAATTTTACAATAAATTGTATATTCATAAATTATAAACCTATCCTATCTCAAACTATGCACTTCTTGTTCGGTCCTGTGTGGAAACACGCTTGAACAAAGTTGCCAACTTCTAAAAAAACAACCCACCCGAAGACACCCCTGCATAACCATGGTCACCTCCCAAACCAGCAGGTGTGTGTTATCCTGTGCATGGTGACCTACACAAGCTGATCTCCTTTGTCTGTAACTTCATCTCTTGTCTATGTTGTAAGCTCACCAATATCAGTATACTGCCTAAATAACAGAAGCACTAGCAGAGACTAAGCCATATATAACTTTATGACTTGTTTACAAAACTGACCAGCATAAGTAACTTGAAATTAGATTTGTTTTTAATTGACTTTGAAAAACAAAATTGGGCAAGCCAGCTTGGGTTTGCCATCTATGTAATCAACAAGACTGACAGCTGCTTTAAAGACAAAACCACTTTCTATTTACAAACTGATGGCTCCTAAAGCAACGTCAGAGTTAGCAATCAAAGCCTGAATCAACACACTTATCCTCCTTGACTTTCATTGTAAATATTTGTGGGTGAAAAAAGATGACAGAATCTGTGAGACTAGTGTCAAGCCATTGATTACCAACACTGCTCTCATTGCCCTGTCAAGGTGAAGGTTATCTTTGTTTTTTGGTCATTTTATTTGTTGTTTAACACCTCACTCAGCAATATTCCAGCTATATGACGATGGCCTGTAAACCATTGAGTTTTTCAGTCATTTACCTTGTTAATACTACTGTCGGGTTACTTTGGACATAAATATTTTGGTAAACTTGTTCTTGACCATCTACCTTGAAGTTTTAGACAAATACATTGATTTAAGATTGCTTGGATCTAATATCATCTATACTAAGTTTCAAAAGAAACACAAATCTCATATTGCAACCTCCAATCTCAATAATATCCAATAACAGTATTTGCACAACAAAAGACATACCTTGTTCGAAAACATGTCACGGTACATACGACTTGTCGTATTTTGATGCCATTGTTTTTTTGTTTTTGTTTGTTTGTTGTTTAACGCCACACACAGCAATATTCCAACTATATGACGGCAGTCTGTAAATAATCCCATCTGGACCAGACAATCCAGTGATTGACATCATACGCATTGATCTATGCAATTGGGATACGATGACATGCATCAACCAAGTTAGCGAATGTGTCCCACAAACAGGCGTGCATACATCAGGCATGTACACCTAGACATGAGGACAATCTGCACATACTAGTCAGCACTGTCACAACATGCCATGCCTGTGAATTCAGGGGGCATATAATTCAGTTACCATCCACATCGTGTACTGATAGCTTTCTTTGGGTCTATTGGGTCTTATTAAGCTCACAACAGTGATCAGGGTTTTACGCGATGCACGAACATAGAGAATGGATGCAGAAAAAAATATACTACCTCCCTAGGGATGCACAAGTCATTGTACTTAAAGCATATCAGGGGCAATTGTGGGTGTCCTTTACTTCATCCATCAAGCATGACCCATGTCCAAGATTCATTACAGACTCTTAAGTTTCATACAATACAGTACACCATTTCATAATTTTAGAGGATCCTCATATTGCCTGCAAAGACTCTTTAAATTAATTATTGAGGTCTGTTGGATGGATGTCTGCGTGTCAATGGGAAATATAGGTCTGTCAAGACTTATGGTATGCCAAAGGCTACATTGGACAATTATCTTAAGTGTTGTTAGACTATTAGGTTTCCTAAAACTGTGATTTTGTCATGTTTGAACACAAGGAACTCAAAATGTATTGTGGTATGTTAACATATCTTGTCTATTTTACATAGATATGCAGGTTATCTCACTTCGTCTGAATCTCTGGACTTAGAACTTGGAATTAAAGTTAAGTCCCATCCCATGTCGTTGTAGACTTACCATTCTATCATAAGGGGAATCTTCTCTTCTACAGTGAGATCATGACTGAATTCTAGAGGCATGTATTTATTGCGGAGTGCAGTGGCCTGAAATAAAACAAATAATATCATCTGATCAGCCTTTTCCATATCCTGTGTACACATATCAATGCTAGACATGATGGCCACGGTTACATGCTTATGTCAATAGATAAGGGTAACATTATCATCAGCAAGGTTACCATGATTACAAATAGATAAATCAACAGAAAAGACACTCAAAGACTTTGAAAAGATTAATTTATAATATTGTTTGTTTGTTGTTTCAAACCGCACTCAGCAATATTCCATCTAAATGACTGTTGTCTGTAAATAATCTCTCTAGACCAGACAATCTTGTGATTGACATCATGAGCATCGACCTACACAATTGGGATTTGATAACATACGTCAACCATATCAGCAAGCCTGACCACCCGATCCTGTTAGTCGCCTCTTACAACAAGCATAGTCGCCTCACACAGCAAGCATGGGTTGCTGAAGACCTATTCTCACCCATTTCTTCACGGGTCTAATTGATATAATAAACAGTACCTGATCTTTGAAGAAATCTGGCATGACATGGCTTTCCTCCAACACATCTGAGAAAGAGCAAAAGACTGTCTTTGATTGATGCTGTATGACATGCAACATGTATGATAATAAGGGCGACACTATTTATCAGGGTATTTTCATTACTAGAAGCCCAAGGTCAGCCAATTACTGCCTGAGGCAGGGGGGCAGTGGAACAGGCTGAGGGCTTCTGCAAATGATAAAGTCCTGAAAAACAGCACTCCTGTTATTATTGTTAACATAATGAACATGGATAGAACTTGTCCTCAGTGCGAAAATATGCATCAAACAACCCAAGCATTGTTTCATTCAAAGTTGTTAATCACATGAAAAACACATCACTAGACATGTTAGAGGTAGTGTGATGTCATTCGAACTTTGCCCTCGATTTACTATGGTAGATGCATTTACCTTCTATCTGCACAAAACTGCAGTCTGGCGAGTATTTCCTGATCCAACATCCCTCGAATGAATTTTTTAACGAGTTTATATTTTTTGTGTATTTTATGAAATAACAACAGTAGATGGCACTGCATTTGAAACAAATTGTGCAGAACATTTTGTTAGGAGTAATCCAATCTGAATACTAATACCATAAGGATGTAGCTCACCCACAAAAGCCTTATACAAGGAAACTAATTACAGTTATAGTTAAGTAAGATATTGTGATATTCTCTGGAAACTGGAGGAGGAGTAGATTTCATGAAGCTCCGTAAAACAGGGGCAGTAACTCTATCAAAATTTGTCGAAATGAAACAGGACTGCGATATGCATATCATCAACATGTCGACTTCTTGTGTGTAGTGTGTCAGGGATATTCTCTAAAAGCTGGAGGAGGAGTTGATTTCACAAGCTTAGTACCTCTCACACAATTAGGCAAATTAAGCTCTGTAAAACGGGGTCAATAACTCTGTCAAAATTAGTCCAAATGAAACGGGACTGCGATATGCGTATCATCAACATGTCGACATCTTGTGTGTAGAGTGTCAGGGATATTCCCTGGAAAGAGTAGGAGGAGTTGATTACACAAGCTTAGTACCCTCTGTGGGACGGACAGACAGACAGACAGACAGACTGTGCCACGACATAATCCCCCTTCGGCCATTCTGGCCAAGCGGAGGATAAAAAGCGGCGTAAAACCATACTCACTCACTCTCTCACACTTTGCCTGATAAATTGTGGGACATTTTTAACTAATTCCATCCAATTCAGCTATAATACAAAGTTACCTAATGTACTCACACTGACTGACATTTACTGGACTGTGTGGACTAGCTAACACAGTCACGTTGTTGAACAAAATGATCAGGAATGAACAATGAAGAATTTGACAGAAAAACATGCAAAATGAATATCACCAAACCATTTTAAACCTTAAATCTATTTCCTGGCTGGCCTGGTGTTTATTGTTCCAAATTTACTATTTAAAATATTTTTTAAGAAGTATTTCTGATCACGTGTCATATAACCATCCCAAATACGCTAAAATAAGGTCTTAACTTTGAGAACATTAAATTGTAACATAACTTCAGCAGCATGTTGCAAACACAGTGATGTCTTCAGTGGGCTTTGAAGCGTATACCTCGATTACATCATTAAGCATGTTAACATGTTAAGCGCATGGTTACACAGCGTTAGAAATTGGCACTAGTCCTATAAGTCCTTGCCAAACTGCCCAAGAGTTAAGGTATCATAACGACTAGTAGAAATTTTCCCTTTTTACGGGTTTTGCTATATTTTTAGGACAGGGGACTCAAATTGTTAGTTTCACCTGCTGTTATGTATTGATTAGGGGCTAGAAAAGAGTTGAGGCTAGAAAATGTGTGACATAGGGATACACCATGATCACTCGTTTCTTTTCAAATGATTAATTTCAAGATAAATAAAAGAAATGAGCTTTCTTTGATAATGGCAAATCAATGTGGACACAAAGTCGTGCTCATGGGATATACACGATATATCTCTGCTGTGATCACTGCCTGAACATACTTACTGTGACATGTTGCACACACTTGGCCTCGGTGCTTGTGTTTGGACAGTGTGCTGTCAAAGTCAGCCACCACCTGAAAGATTTTACCATCTTTACACAATGAGCAAAACATCTCTTCGTAATCCTTGAGTAATCAGTAACATGCCAGTTTGGATCAAAGCGACCAATTCAGGACATAAATATACACACCACAGTATTGAGATTAAGGGGTGTTTTTTATACCATGGCAGTTCTTAGACATAATCTAGGCTTTAAAACCAACCATGCACTGATAAAGGCAATAAATGTATAACAAAAAACCCAAACATGGTCATGATGGTTGAATAATTACAAAACAATAATAAACAATTACAGAATAACAATATTTATGATACCGAACTGTACACCTTCCTCTGTCTGGACAAATGCTCTACCACTAGATAATGTAGGCGGTCTACAGGTGAACAATGGTATACCTGTAGTTTACTTGCTCCATCCTTAGTCATGTGTTCAATGGCTTTCTTCACAAACTCGGGATCCCTGATGTGGACATGCTTACTTTCCAGCTCTGGCACCTAGAACATGGAGACATAGTGCAACATGAGAACTGTCTGTCGGCTGACCAGTACTTTAAAACATGAAATTATCATTCAAGTTGACTAGCACATATGAACCTTGACAAATCAGAAGTCAACATGGTCAAAGTGAACTGTGAGTGATAGAAAAATAACAGGTTGATCATGTATCACGGTCAAACACTTTTATCAATATGATATAAACTAGGCAAGCATGGCCAAAATACATTTCGATTCCATCATGCCCATATAATCTGCATTTTCTTTGAATCTTTGCAAGTAAAATATATATGATTTGCTTAGTGAAATTTTTTTGACACACCTTCCAGCAGTTCCATGTAACATCAGAAGTGCAGGTCATTGCTCAAAATATTCATATAGAAACTCAGAGCTCTAACATTGATCACAGATTAATTGTAATTACAGTGGTCCCTCACTACAACGCTACCAATGGGGTCTTAATTATCATCATGATCATGAACTAAATACACTACATACACAACTGAAGTATTTAAGGTTTGAGAAATGCTGTATATAAATAGGTAGATGTGACCTTGATGCATAAACACATATCTGCATAGATGATAGATTTAGATATTAACATTATAAACTAATCAATCACTCTAACACCAAAAATGGAAACAGCAACAGAAACTCATTTTAGTTTCTAGCCCTCATGAAAATGTAGATAAGGAAAAACATTAAATAATGTTAATATTAGTAATTCCTAATAGTCCTATCATGCCTTCACTTTTGTTATTTGGAATTGGGACCAACAAAGTTGGAGCCACAATACAGACAATGTGTATCCAGTCACCCCGGTCCAATAGAAGAAAAGGTAGTTGTAGTCCTTCCATTTCTGTACTCAATGTAATATGCATTAAAGTGCATCAGTTGTAAAAAATTATCCTCCAACAATGAGTATAGCTTCTCTCAAAAATCCATATATCTAACATACATGTCTGAGTGGGACACAATGGGAAATTTGATGAGTAAATATCAGGGTAAAGTTGTTCTTAACATTTGTACCTCTGGAGGCCATATTGCAGGAAGAGGTTATCTGGTTGAAAATAAACACCTTTTTGTTTACTTGTGTTTATACCATCTTACATCCACTGCTTTTGCTTGACACAAAAATACCCAATGAGAAATTCATTGGCATGTTTGGAATAGTGGTCTCTTTTTCCAAATTTCTCAAAGATACTGTTTGCTTGAGTTTAGAGCCAGATCAAAATCTAAGCATGGTGAATTTACAAAAGGCCCACAAAAACTAGGTTTGACAAATACAGCATGTTGAGCAATTTTGGAAAGAGCATGTGCCAATGATTGAGTTCACAGTGACTTGGTCGACCCAAGGGCACATTCTGTGTAATTTGACACTTTAATTTGTAACTTCCAGTTAGAATGCAATTCTTGGGTCTTTGGGCATGTGGGCACCTGAAGGCTTGTTGCTGCAGCAATTGAATACAGGTTTAAATCCTTATCCTTATAAGCATATTGTATGTTTAACATCACATCACATTGGCTTCACTGCATGTTTATTACATCCAATCTTATCATGGTTATACATACATAATGGCATGTGATGTAAGGGAGAGCAACACCATGTGGGCACCAGGCCCCTTTCATCCTTCACAATACATCTTAGCCACGACTCATACACCACATAGTGTCTAAGTAAAGAGGGGTCCTGGGGTTCTTGAGATTTTCTGCATTTGGGACCACTTACTGCTATTACCACTTTAGCACAAATCACTGACAGTTGCATATATGAGCCGACAAATGACAGGACAAATAAAGTAAAATACAAATTGACAGATATCATGAAGTGGCCATGATAATATATGATGTTAATATTATGAAATGGTGGATGATAAATTTCTCTATGTTAAAGGGGCACTGATCTAAAGCAATTCCCCGGGACTGGTTGTTGCCTTTGTTATTGTTTTTTCCCCGTGAGTACCCAGATGATACGCAACGCAACTGAGCGTGACAAGAGACTGGGCTATTGTCTGCAAGGACAGCAAAAGATCTTGGAGGCAATATTTGTTTTACCCATTTTTGAACACTGATTGGTTAACCGTGATCTATAAAGATTTCGACAAAGAGTGCATGTTAATTAATTTCTTCAGCCTAAACAAACAGACAAAATGAAAGGCAGAGCTCATCGGTTGTCGTCATTTGAAAATACCCCTGATTGTTATAGTTTTAAAAAAAGTATCAATGCAGTGAAAGCATTTTCGGATATCAGATTGCGTCGATAAAACGATTACTACTCCCTTGTTGTCATCCACGTTTTCTGGTACAACCCTAAACTTGTGTATTTGTCGTCATTCACTTGATGCTCAGTTAATGAATTTATTACAGGTATAATTAGTGGTAGCACCACTCCGAATACCTGACGAAGGTTCCCATTTGGCATTTATTGTGTCTGGGGTAATTATTCAATCTAAATCCAGTTTTGAAGTCAGGTGAAATGTGTGTTATGTAATATGCATGAGGCAGCCCAGCAAGAGATGAATGATCAGTTGATTTACTTTTTTTTGTAAATCAGCAGATCGTTTGTAGTCATCAAAGGATTAACAGGAAATACATTGATTGATTAATCACTGTTATCTTGCACGTGGATATGTCAATAGTGAGTATCTACTAGGGCTGTTACGATTCACTCGCATATTCAGCATGTTCAGTAAATCGAACCGTAACAACATGAACAATTCATGAATTGAATTCGTTTTCATGGCCACAAGAATCAAATATTTATTAATATGCTATCATGTATATTTACATACCCTGTAACTAAAAATATCCATAACAACATATTATATGCATAGATTTCTAGATTTCTTTCAATGACAACACTCTAATTATATTTAATTTGATAGAATTGTTTTCACTGGTCATTGTTGCATCTGAGCAGATACTAGTACTTGGATAAGTGCAGTATAAAAATTTATTTTATATATATATATATATATATATATATATATATATATATATATATATATAATAAAATCCACTTTAGTCCATCATCTTCTTTATATCAGTTTCAGACATAGTACTTTCGCTGTCTCATGACAGCTCTTCAGTGTAGATAATTAACAAACCATGTCAAATAAATATTGATGTTATTGTTTCACTGAATATAATAAATAACACATAAACTGATGACTTGTTATTGTAACTGTGAATTAATATTCGTATTCGTTACCCTATATTCGTGATATGAATCGTATTCGCCCCATAGTGTATTCGTTGCAGCCCTAGTGTTTACATGTCTAGGTTTACTAAAACAAAGGGAATACACTCATATCCTTACGTGAAGTGTTGATGTAAAAACAACATACTTTGTTCAAAGGTTAACCGATAATAATGGGATTTTGGGGGGAACCGTGGACGTTATGAAAATAGTTGTCATGTGGGCTTTCTCAGCCGACCTTTGAGACTTGACACCTATGTGAAACACCTGAAACAATCTAAGTGATATTTTAAGATATTTGATTGTTACAGAGACACGCATACACGCATATTCACGCATACATTCCTCGAACAAGGAAGCTGCCTAAAATTATACACATAAATTTGGTAGGTTCTAATTATGATATTCGCATTTTGTTTTCCTTCATTTGCAGTAGCATTGGACAGATTCATTCTTGTTCCCCTATGTCTTGGTTGGGAAATTCTTCGATGCGCGACAGACGTTGTTTTCACAAGTCTTTTCCTTTATAAATTACAGTCAATTTGTAAAATGTGATTCTCTCAGGCAATTTATATAATGTGTAAATATTTCAGTCATTTTGACAGAAAAATCAATTTGTAAAATAACTGAATATTCAGGCGTTTAATAAATTTCCTAAGTGCAAATTTTGCACATTTTGACTGTAAAAATATAAACATGATAAAATAAGCAATGCTTATGAGAAATATTTACTTTGTGTTGCAAGTCAAAATAGTGTAAACGAAAATCGCACAATTACCAAGCATGTGAGTTATCAAAACTTCGTCACCATTACCGATGCTACCCACAAAGATACCTACATTTCCTTATTATTTCCAATGTGACATACACCTTTATACTATCAATAAAAGTGACAAATGCACAGGCTGCGAACTAGTCTAGGTTTCTGCTATATCATCCGGGTACTCACAGGAAAAAAAACAATAACAAAGGCAACAACCAGTCCCGGGGAATTGCTTTAGATCAGTGCCCCATTAATCACAAAGGTAACCAGCTAGTAACCATGGTTACGACTAAAATTAATCATTTGCGTGTCCATAATACTGTACTGCATTAGATCAAGTGAAATCATCAGTATCTACATACACACTTCTACAACGCAACGATCTCAGGCCTTGTGGAATTCTCAGTCATCACATCAAATATTAGTGTGATTAGTGTAGCTGCAATATACAGATAGCCTATAGGACCTACACACTACACGTAGCAGAACAGAAATATGAACTACCAAATATTGTCTGAACAAACACGATAAATGCTTAATACACTTGTATCCAGCACAAAACTAGACATATTTACCGCATCCTTAGTGCATTTCCAAAAATGGACTTGCAAGAGCGTTTGAGAACTCCTTGAGACAGTGAGTAAAAGTTCGTTTTTTCCTGATCTAAGAGTAAGAGATCGAAAAGCACTTAGATCATGTATAAACATGCTCACCATTTCCATTTCGCCAGCTACGTGCAAACCTGCAGTCGGTGTCTTTCCAGTGCGAGAATATTAGTATTGTGAACCAGATTGGAACTGTTAACTAGATCAATGATCAATGACAACATGCAAACTACTAATGTAACGACGAGTATTATAAAAATGACTTAAGACAGTATTGTGATTATTTATTCATATATTTATGTGTATAAACATTCATTGGTCAATTAAACTAAAATATGGATATATCATTGACAAAGTTAGGTGTCATAATTGTACGTTTTCAAAGCTAATATTCCTTCTTTGCAATAGAAATACTCCTATTTTGTTATTAGTCGTAATACAAAGAGTGTTTTCCTGGAAGGGCAGATAACTCCGAGAAACCTATTTCATTTCAGCGAAACAAATTTGTTTCGAAAGGAAAACGAAAGCGCATGTTCAAAACTGACATGTCACTGTGGAATGTCATATCAATGTTATCTACAATATAGATATTAAATATATTTGAATAATTTCTTTTACATTTATTGATCGAAATGAAAACGTGTTTTCTCACGTGGACTTACAAATACGAACGGATCTATCAAGATGTCATCGAGGAAAAAAAACCTGTCGTATTGAACAACACCAGACCGAGGCGGCGAAAAAGTCAGCTGAGGCAGACAGATTAATAGTCAAAACAACCAACATCCACTTACTACGGTGTCACAAACTATAGCGGCGATTTGATTTTGCTCTACAGACCTGATTCTCAGCTGGGTACTGTCGGGGAAATATTCATCAGATGTTTTGAATTACTTTAATCACGGACCTAAATAGTAGCCTGAGCAAAGTTCCTCATGAAAACTTGATGTCGTATACCGTACCTTTAGCATGTTCAAGATAAATAATGAAATACACCATTTGTTTTGTTTGTTTGTTGTTTAACGCCGCACTCAGCAATATTCCAGCTATATGTAATAATCGAGTCTTGACTAGACAATCCAGTGATTGACATCATGAGCATCGATCCACGCACTTGGGATACGATGACATGCATCAACCAAGTCAGCGAGCCTGACCACCCGATCCCGTTAGTCACCTCTTACGACAAGCGTAGTCGCCTTTTACGGCAAGCATGGGTTGCTGAAGACCTATTCCACCCCGGATCTTCACGGGTCGAAAGGCAAATGATACCGTGAGACCGTGAGAATGATAAACGACATTATACCATCATAACTTAACAAGTAGTTACTGTATGAACACACAATGCCATTTTGAAAGTGATCAAATGTAACAAATGTTATATTTGGGAATAACACTTCCTCAGTAAAATGGGGCGGTCGGGTAGCCTAGTGGTTAAAGCGTTCGCTCGTCACGTCGAAGACCCGGGTTCGAATCCCGACATGGGTACAATGTGTGAAGCCCATTTCTGGTGTCCCCCGCCGTGATATTGCTGGAATATTGCTAAAAGCGGCGTAAAACCAAACTCACTCACTCACTCCTCAGTAAAATACAAATTCTAGTACTTTTGTGGGTTGAGTCCCATCCGGGTTTCGAACCCATTCTCAGGGTGAGGCACCTATTTGCAAGTACGCAAAGTCAGCAATCTAACCCACTCAAAAATGAAAGTCCGACAACAATGTCTAGATCACGTACTTTGTGTACCCCTCTGATAAATGTAAATAGTTACTGTATGTTTAAGGCTTACAGTGCAATGCAGTACTTTGGTACCCTCTGTACGTAGAATCGTTGCTACTCAACAAAAATATCTCTGTGAATAATGACTTGTGCATTATGAATGTGTGGATGCTCTGTTACTCAACATATCACACCGTGCATATTGATATGCATATTATGAATACTGTTGTAAAGGCTTTGTATTCATGTGGGGAAAAAAGAACAATATAATTAAAAAAAAATTGTTTTCATATATTTGATAAATTCTGCCACCTTGATCCGCTTCCTGGTCCGGTTAGGTTCAAGGCAAACTGGCGACCCTGACCGGCCCGATTTGCATGACACAGCCTCATTTCAAAGCGAAAGTAGCTATAGCACTGCCTACGTGGCTCGATCTACCGCAAGGGCATGTCCCATGGCTCCGAATACCAATGACAGCGAAAGGTAAAGCTAAATTCAAACTGTTACAGTTTAAACATTTACTTAATATACCAACGTATTATAGGATCTTAGTTAGGATGTCAGGCGTGAATATCATACTCATCACGAAAACAAACTATTACGTGTTCCCACTATGTAGTGTATATATGTAGTAAATTAATCAAGCAAATGACGTTTGATTACACATGAAAAGTTATCACGACAGTAGGGAATCCATATAAAAGTCCTGTTTAGACCCGGTAATCGAGTTTTGTCGGCCTATTCTCGATCAGACTACAGAATCTGTATGACGGAACCCGTGCCCAGTAACTGAGTAGGTTTAGGAACGTCGAAGTTTATCATAATTCGAGAATATCTTTCTGCCACAATATAGACCCTGATTTTTGTTGATGTAACGTTTAGGTGCTAAATATCGCTCCAAGGAACGGTTAGGTTGCTTGTAATATTTGTTTTGTTCATCCTATATGATTCCATCCGGTGTTTGTTCGACGTCTTATGTATGATTTTACCACCGCTTTAGGTGTATTATCTCCCTTTGATCACCTGCATAGAGAAATGAACAAAACGCCAAGCATCGTCATACGAACGCTAACCAATTCTGTAATGTAAAAGACCGAGACTTTTTTTTAAACCGAAGAATTTTGGATTTCTTATATATATTCAACCGTTTATTGTGATAAATGAGTATTTAATTTCGTAATGAATTCAATGCCATAGTAATTTTGTCTCTTTGGCAAAATTATTTACGAAAATATTTTATATATTATTATTAGGTTCTTATCGATTTCCTAATGGCATTCTCATGATACATTTCTACCCATTAACAATTATTGATTATGAACTAATCCATAGTAGGACCAATACACAATAGAGTACAAATTTTGAAACATATGAGAGATAAAATCATGAAATATATAAAGTTCAAGGTATAGATATGCCTTTTATTATGCAAAGTCATGGAAACAGCTATAAAAATGTATCTGCTTAAGCTATCTCCATAGGAGATTTTAAGGTTTTGTTGTATTTCTCCTTTTAATAGTCAGAAGAGTCCTTTTTTTATGTATGCAGATATAGTCTTGTCCCTGGAAAGGCCAAAGTCACCAGAGATTATTCTGTTCAAGTAACAGGCCCCACAGACAACGCCTTGAGGCATGAGTGTCCTCACTTTTATTTCTATACATTACATACTATAAAGCTGTTGATAGAAATTCTTTGAAAAGAATCTTTATGATCAAAGCTACACAAATAATAGGATTTATGACACATTGTTTCTTCTTTAGATGGAACACTGCAGAGGGGAGGTGTTCAGCATTCATGGCAGAAGGGGAATCGGGATGATAGTCATGATACTCCCTCCACAGTGCACAGAGATCAACTCGGGAGACCAACTGTGTACAATGATCTTGCACTCTGCCCATCACACACTCACAATATTCCCTTGAATAGGACCTTCTGGTATTAAAAGTCATTAACTGCAAACTGGAGATGTGTGACCCTAAATCCTCCAAAGACTTTGTTCCTCAAGCCTTGACAGATACTGAACTTCAACTCCAGGCAGACTATGGCCCTCAACCCCTAGCAGACACTGGCCCCCAACCTCATACAGACACCAGCCCCCAACCCCAGGCAGACACTGGCCCCCAACCTCACACAGACACTAGCCCTCAACCCCTGGCAGTCACTGGCCCCGAACCTCATACAGACACCAGCCCTCAACCCCTGGCAGACACTGGCCCCCAACCTCATACAGACACCAGCCCTCAACCCCAGGCAGACACTGGCCCCCAACCTCATACAGACACCAGCCCTCAACCCCAGGCAGACACTGGCCCCCAACCTCACACAGACACCAGCCCTCAACCCCTGGCAGACACTGGCCCCCAACCTCATACAGACACCAGCCCTCAACCCCAGGCAGACACTGGCCCCCAACCTCATACAGACACCAGCCCTCAACCCCTGGCAGACACTGGCCCCCAACCTCATACAGACACCAGCCCTCAACCCCAGGCAGACACTGGCCCCCAACCTCACACAGACACCAGCCCTCAACCCCTGGCAGACACTGGCCCCCAACCTCATACAGACACCAGCTCTCAACCCCTGGCAGACACTGGCCCCCAACCTCATACAGGCTCCAGCCCTCAACCCCAGGCAGACACTGGCCCCCAACCGAAGGCAGATACTGACCCTCAACCTCATTCAGACACTTGCCCCCAACCTCATACAGACACCAGCCCTCAACCCCAGGCAGACACTGGCCCCCAACCGAAGGCAGATACTGACCCTCAACCCCATTCAGACACTTGCTCGAAACCCCAGGCAGATACTTGCTCTCAACCTCAGGGAAAAATGGACCTGGTACACCAGGCAAACACTGATCCCCGTTCACCCCGATATGCTGATCCTAGGCCTGACACAGAGTCAAGCAGAATTCTAAAGTTTGATGCAGTTTTACTATTTGCAGAAGAGGATTATGAGCTGGCACATAAAATACAGACTAAGATGAATGACATTGTATTGGAAGATGGACAGAAGGCAAAAGTATGGTTATATGATCATCCACAGTTTGGGGCTGTAATTCCTGACAAAGCCAGTGAAGTGAAAAGGAAATGTAATATCGCCTTTGTATTACTTACAAAGAATACAAACTCAGACCAGAAATGCTGTTATATTTCTAAAGAAGCAGCAATGGATGCTTGTCTTGGCCAGGAAGATCCTGAAAGTCCACATATTGTATTCCCTCTGCATACCAAACCTAAGAGTGAGCGTGATTATGTCATTCCTAAAGGATTTGTAAGTTCAGACCATTATGACTGGTTTGAGCCCTTGCCTAATTGTGAGGAGAAGATTAAAGTCCTGTTTGATCATTACCGAAAACCTGCTCACCTCCGATCAGGACATGGCAGTATTGGTAAGTTGTACTGTACTCTACTCTACTGTTTCAGCCTTCATGATTGTCCAGCACACATTGTTTTCACTGGAACTCCTCAAAGCCAACAATGCCAGGTTGCATAGCATCACGTGGGGAAGATTTTCAGATGATATAACTCGGCATTTGTGTTCTCTGGTATATACCCGATATTGACCAGTGAAGTATTTCTGTATTATAAGCACCTTGCTTCAAATACACTGTTCGGTCATTTGCAGGATTTGGAAGGCATGTGTACCATAAATTTACCGTCAACATATATGTTCCAAATCTTTTCATGTTTTTAGACAAGGTGCTCATGATATTTGATGCACTTCGTGAAGTAAGACCTGTTTTATTACTATAAAGATCTATATCATAGATCAAATCGTCTTCACAGGTGCCGCCATTTTGATTGAAGCTTTTGCAAGTGATATGAGAGGTGGAATCTGATTGGTCAAAAGAAGGGACATAGACGGGACATAACTCGTAATAGCCACTGGTGGCAATACGGTCGAGCCCAGAAATTAGTCTAGTTCAGCAAGGGTGGACTTTCACAGTCAGTTAACTTCCTTGCCTTGGGAAGATGATAATGACTGTGTATTATAAATTGCCACAATATGGGGGAATGATTTGCATGGTTTTTTGTTGTCTTTTCCAGGAAATCAGAACCAACAGAGCAGTTTGGATGGAAATGCCAGTGACAACAAAGTCAACTCTGCTGCTCCAGAAGAAACATTCCAACTAAGGCGAATCAAGGGTGAGTGTCCAGGATTTGAATGTTTTGCCATAGAAGAAAGTGGAAAGTGGAAAGTGGAATTGACAAAGTGAAACCTGTCATTATTGTCAAGTTTGGATTTTATTTGTCTATCGTGGGGATGAGTGATGTTGTTAAATAATTCATGAAACAAGACGTATCCCAGCTATATCAGTCCAAGTTAAATACAAGCCTCTTAAATACATATTGAAATACCTATTTATGGTCACTACATGACCATTTTGTTTGTTATATTAATTTGTACCCAACACAGTCATGTTCAACACATATTTTAAATTTTGACCCTGCTCTTATATTCTGTAGAAGTTCACAGAGATCTGTAGATAACAGTTTAAATGTCAACAAACGTTTGCAAATGTTGCTGTCAGCATTGATTTTGCTATAGAACGTCCAAAGACTGGTCAATAATTACTGGCAGACAGTTTGCTAAAAATATGTATATACTACCACCAGTAACAAAATGTGATAAAATAAATACCAGAACTTGGAAACAAGGTGTCGGGGAAAATATGTCACAGTTGCAAATGGTCAAACAAACGAGATGCAGAGGATCACAATACACGTATATAAAATACAATAACAAGTTTATTAATTATCTGCCGAACTGAAAACATGTACATGCTTGTAGGGGCACTGATCTAACGCAATTCCCCGGACTGGTTGTTGCCTTTGTTATTGTTTTTTCCCCCGTGAGTACCCGGATGATACGCAACGCAACTGAGCGTGACCAGAGACTGGGCTACCGTCTGCAAGGACAGCTAAATAAACTTGGAGACTGGAGGCAATATTTGTTTTACGCATTTTTGCATAAACACTGATTTGTAAACCGTGATCTAAAAAGATTTCGACAAAGGGCGCATGTTAATTAATTTCTTCAGCCTAAACTAACAGACAAAAAGAACGGCGGAGCTCTTGGATGTCGTCATTTGGAAATACCCCAGATGGTTATAGTCAACACTAAAACAAGTATCCATGCAGTGAAAGCATTTTCGGTTTTCGGATTGCGTCGATAATACGATTACTACTCCCTTGTTGTCATGCACGTTTTCTCGCATAACCCTACACTTGTGTATTTGTCGTCATTCACTTGATGCTGAGTTAATGAATTTATTACAGGTACAATTAGTGGTAGCACCACATAGATTACCTGACAAAGGTTCCCATTTGGCATTTATTGTGTCTGGGGTAATTATTCAATCTAAATACAGGTTTGAAGTGAGGTGAAATGTGTGTTATGTAATATGCACGTGGCAGACCAGCAAGAGGTGAATGATCAGTTGATTTACTTTTTTTTGTAAATCAACGGATCGTTCCTAGTCATCAAAGGATTAACAGAAAATACGTTGATTGATTATTCACTGTTATCTTGCACAGTGGATATGTCAAAAGTGAGTGTTTACATGTCTAGGTTTACTAAAACAAAGGGAATACACACATATCCTTGCGTGAAGTGCCGATGTAAAAACAACATACTTTGTTCAAAGGGTGAACTGATAATACGTTGATTGATTGATCATTGTTATCTATCACTCAATGGATTTTTTAGGAACCGTGGACGTTATGAAAATAGTTGTGGGCTTTCTCAGCTGACCCTTGAGACTTGACACCTATGTGAAACACCTGAAACAATCCAAGTGATCAGTTGAGTAACGAACACGGGTTATAATATCCCGAAACGATATATATCTTTTAAAATATGTGATTGTTACAGTGACATCGAATAGGTTTCTTTGTACAGCTGCAGACGAATGGGATATTGTTCCTTTGTGTGGATATTCACGGATAAATTCCTCGAACAAGGAAGCTGCCTAAAATTTATACACATAAATTTGGTAGGTTGTAATTATGGTATTTGCATTTTGTTTTCCTTCATTTGCTGTAGCATTGAACCGATTCGTCCTTGTTTCTCTACGTCTTGGTTGGGAAATTCTTCAATGCGCGATATACGTTGTTTTCAAGCGTGTATATATTACCGTCAATTTGTAAAATGTAATTCTCTCAGGCGATTTATAAAATGTGTAAATATTTCAGTCATTTTGACTAAAAAATCCGTCCAGATTGATTAAGGCGATCAAAAGGGCCTACAAACATCACAACAGATTATTATGTAGGATTAGAAGCCAAACAACATAGAAATGTACTTTTCAACGTAACATTTTCAGTCTCTTGGTGATGACATTAAACATCAAAATGTTTGGAATTCGTTATCATAATAATACAGATGGAAATGTTTTTCAGTCACTTTGTTAATGACTGAATATTTAGGCGATGAATAAATTTGAAAATGTTACACATTTTGACAGTAAAAAATATACACACTATCAAAAAGCAATGCTCAGGTGAAATATTTACTTTGTGTTGCAAGTCAAAATAGTGTAAACGAAAATCGCAAAATTACCAAGCAAGTGACGTATCAAAACTTCGTCACCATTACCGATGCTAACCACAAAGATACCTACATTTCCTTATTATCTCCAAAACTGTATTTCATTTTGTTGATCAATGTGACCATATGCCCTCTATATTACTAGCCATACAAGTGACTAATGCGCTTACGAATGGCGCAGCAGAGGTCGCGAACTAGTCTAGATTTCTGCTATACATCCGGGTTCTCACTGGGAAAAAACAATAACAAAGGCAACAACCAGTCCCGGGGAATTGCGTTAGATCAGTGCCCCTTTAAGTTCTTGAGACTTGATACCCAACTGTCAACTGTACTGGAATCATCTTTCGCGTGGTATTATCTGAATATTCTGGCTTTAGGCTCTAGTACTTGTCAATAACTCAGACATTTGATATACCGGTATGTAAACTGTTGGACCAGTAAAACTTTTATGATAAACTTTGAAGCTAGAAAGTGTATGAACTTGGCTAAAACTGGAACTGGCTCCATGTGAACAATACACTCCAGAAGTCACAGGACCCAGAGGGCATACTGAGGAGACCATGCCTCATACAACTATCATCCGTGGTGTAGTGGATATAGGGCATATCTGACCGGAGAGAGAAAGTACTGTGATTGAACTAAATAATGTGTCATCATAAGCAGAAACAGACATGCAAAATTTCAGCATCCATAGTTTTGCAACTTCAGAGAAGTTTACATTGCCAAATATCCACCATGAAATAATTTTAGACCAAGGTATGTCAACAGTTGTGTGTTTTTAAATCATGCCTGAAATAATTTCCGAGTCTTGACATCACATCACCGATTCAATTCTCAAACCAAAACAATGGACCTCCGCACAGTGTTAAGCTGACAACGCAAGCGCTGCACAGAGTAAACTGGCTTCAGCCGTGTTTCTTATTATAGGCAAACTGAAGAGAAAGCTTGTGTAGTTTTCTTATGGCAGAGTTACAAAATACTAATTGCCAGCTTGGTTAGATTAGAAGCAAGTGTTTATCAAAGCCTTGACTACAATATAAATATGCCTCAGTCGTATGAAACCAATCACATTCCCACCTAGAGTTCCTTGCAGCCAGCCAGCAGAGTACTTCTCTCACATGGTCACATCTTCCACAATCTGTTCGTGTGTCTTTCATCTGTTTCTACACATTTAGATAAACATACGTCATGAAATGTTTAACTTTCATTGTGAAAATATACTAAAACGTGAAAACCTATTTCCATTTGCATATTTATCCATCATATCTGGTCATTGATCCCTTTGGAGAGCTAGCGATATACGGTCACTTTGTTGTGCAAAACTTTATTGTCATGCACCTCAATATCGCAGTCGTAGTAGTAAATTGCTATTATTATGCAAAACAATATGTAAAGTGCACTGAAAGGTTTGAATTAGGCACGCTCCTCTGTTCTTATTTCAGAATATGTGCATTTCTTTACAAACAAGAGAAAAGTCTGGTCACATGATAAGCTTACAAACCCACTGAAACATAAATGGAATAAAGCGAGCAGAGCTGAATAAGCTCAGGGTTATCAGCTATTGTTTACAAACAGAGATTCAGAACGGTCAACGTCCTGTCTCTTTAACACAAAAAAAATAAAGGTAAAATCAAGGTTCCTATATATAATATCGCAAAAAAATGATAAGACATGGAGTCCCTCTTCTGACTACAAAAGCCACATTTCACTACATTATGAAGAAAATGAAGGAGATGATGTCTACAATGAATGAAACAGATGATAATCAAATAACATTACATAACCTCACTTGCCTTACAGTAGGATGAGCTAAGGATGCATTTTTGTCTCTGCAAGCATCTTCTCTTCTGAAATTGGAATGTATGTTTCTTCTTTTCATGACGTCATATTTTATATGGAAGTAACTATAGGATTTAGCTCAATGGCTGGCCCACACTGAAGCAGCAGTGTGCTCTGCATTGGCAGCAAAATAATCATGTCATTAGCTACCAAAACATCAGTGCATATACATAAAAAAACCTTGATCACTCAAGAAGTAATTTGTGCTGGTTTTTCCTTGTCCCACAGGAGATATAAAATTATGGATGCAGGATGTTTGTTTCACTTTCATATTTATTTGTCTTCTCCATTAGAAATATATGATTATTGAGACATTCTTCTAAGGCATTTCACTCTCCATCACATTTGGCAAGGTTTTCATTGGTTCTACTGCATTATACAACCAGCATTCAGGAAACAAAAAATATAAATGCCCATTTTAACCTTTAATGCTATTAAGGTTGTTTTTTTAAATGCTGGTGTGATGCGCAACTTGAATATAGGTTTAAATATTGGTGTGTGTCGGCCTTTAGGTTCTGTCATAGGTGTTAATGTAGAAATATTTGAATATATCAGTTCCAACAATAACTTTTGTTAAGTGACTGTTTTTAAAAAAGATTATAAACTATTTGACTACACATCCAGGTTAGCAGCACTGCTGTGGGAGAGCTCATGTCATTATCCCCCGCCCCAACGAAGTTGGCGGGGGATATAGAAATGGGTTCCGTCCGTGTGTGTGTGTGTGTGTGTGTGTGTGTGTGTGTGTGTGCGCGTGTGT